ATGCAGTACCATGAGTCTTTTTCTACACAGAAAAAAGTCTTCTGGTATAGCTGCAGTATTAATCTAGAAATAATATAATCTATCTTCAAAGTATATAATATATTTGTGGATTAAAATAGCTGCAGTAAATTCACATTTTACTTTTTGAATTAAAATTTTGATTAAACAGTGTCTCAATAGTAAACATCAAAATTGCTCTGGTACTAATAATTTCAACTATCCACACATATTTCTGTTAATATTTCAGTGGATTGAGTTATGGCAGTAATAAGTAAAGCAAAATTTTACTTCTGTCTAATGAGAGAACAACAAAGCTACATTCTGGGTCGTAAACTGGCACAGGGAGTCTGAATGTGTGCAGTTGCTGTCCTCATTAAATTTAATGTTCAGTGAAGACTACCACAGTCATTCTAAAACTAATAAAGTTGGTGTTACTCAGTGCAGAAGAAAAAGTATAAATGAGTAGTTAAGACATAATTTTAAAGATTAGAAGAAAACGTGTCTGTTGACAACTTAAAAAATATTTCAAAACTTCTAGGTAAGTGACAGAAAAACACTGGCAAAATATTAAATTAAATTAAAATACTAAATACATGTTACTGGCACAGAAATAGATAAATCAGTAGCACAGAGTTTGAAAACTAGACCAAGCATATATTATATGTTAGTACATGATAAAATTGACATCTCAATTTAGTGTGGGGGGGAATGGACTCTTCAGAATATATTATTAAGGCACTTAGTTGGTTAGCCATTTGAATTTTATTAGATCTGTGCCTTAATGTAAATGCCAAAATAAACTATATACAGGTTAAAGGTTAATTTTTTTTAAATCTGTGTATTGGGTTGAATAAAATTTGGTGCATCCATATAATGGAAATTATGTACCACTGAAAAATTATGTAAGCCCTGGCTGGTGTAGCTCAGTGGATTGAGCGCTAGCCTGCAAACTGGAAGACCGTCAGTTCAGTTCCTAGTCAGGCACATGCCTGGGTTGTGGGCCTGGTCTCCGGTTGGGGGTGTGCAAGAGGCAGCTGTTCAATGTTTCTCTCTCTCTCTCTTTCTCCCTTCTCCTCCCTCTAAAATGAAAAATAAAATATACTTATGAATTTATACTTAGGAAAGTCAGGAAGAGGACTTATGGGTGATTTTTGTCTTTTTAGTATTTTCTGCCAGGAACAATGAACACATGCTACCCAAGTGCAGGATTATTGTTTGTCTTCATTTTTGAAAACTCTACATCAGTAAAAGAGCTCTAAAAAAAACAGGACAGCGTGGCAGAGGAGTAAGAATGTGGCCTTTTTCTGAGGGAAAAGTGGAAAGACACGTAAGATCAGATACAAATGAAAAGTTAAGCATCTGAGGCAAAAAATAATAATTCAGAGAATTCCAAAAGCAATACAGTATGTGATTTCACTACATCGAACAGGGAAAGGTAGCTGAAATCAGGAAAACTATACAATAGAACATAAATATCTTCCAAGGTGAAAGGAGCATGATGAATTTAAGAGTCCAGACAGTAATTAGTAGTCGTACAAGGGAGATGCCCATACCCACATTTATCTCTTGTCTTTTTGTAGTGCTTTATGCTTTTTGAGTTTTTCCATACATCCAATTTGAGAAAGGATTGTCCAGCTTAGTAGTGGTACATGCATCCATTTTTATGGCTTAAAACACTGCAGCTTAAGGATGTTTTTCTTAGTGACATGGTGAGTTAATAACAAAGCCAAAGCCATAACCTGCTTTGCTTCAGTCTAGTGGGTGGTCCTGTCATCCTGTCTTTTAATTTTTTTAAATTAATTTTAGAGAGAGGGAGGGAGGGAGACATTTGATTTGTTGTCCCACTTAATTATGCCTTCATTGGTTGATGCTTATATGTGCACTGATGGGCTCGAACCTAGAACCTTGGTGTATCAGGACAAATCTAACCAACTGCGCTACCGGACCAGGGCCTATCATGCTATCTTGGTATCTCACAGACTACCAGGGAGATGTAAGCAAGTCATGGGAAACACCCAGTGATTCTAGTCCTGCCTCACAAACTTGATATGAATAAATCACTGCTATGATCAGTATCCAACCAGCGTGGGTTTTTTTCCCCTACCCACCCAAAACTTTTAAGACTGTCAAAAATGAAATTTTGGAAGCATTGCTGAAAATAAATGACTACATTAGAATGAAATCCTATTTCACATATCAGATAAGTAAAAATAAGAAGACCAAACACTGTTAGCAGGAGTTCTGGCAAATGGACATTTCATGCTGCTGGAAGGAGTATAAATTTGAATATTTATAAAGGATAATCTCGTAGTATATATCGTTCTCCATTAGCAGTTTTACTTCTAGTTTATTCCAAGGATACAATGGGGTAGATGCCCAGAGATATGCATACAAAGATTTCACCACAGCTTTGTTGATTTTTAAAGTATTTATATCTTCCTGTATTGACTGATTTTTTCAATAAGCACATTGCTTTTATAAGCAGTAAAACATTAATAATGCTGTTTTTTTATTGATGGAAAAATAAAACCATCTATCACAGGATTCTTGCATTATTACCATAACTCCTACTTGATAAGAACTGCAGCAGCAAAGATCCTGGAAATTCCTGGTTTTCTCTTTCATTTCTGACAAATAATAGAAGGAATAACTTTTACAATCAGTAATGGATGAAAGGCAAGAGGGTGGAAGCAGTGCAAATGGTTGAAAAGAATGTGGGAATCCGAGGACCTAAGTTTGGAATCTGCATGCCTCTTAGGTAGAGTTGTGGTTTGGGGCAAGTTGCTAACCTTTCTAAAGCTTGATTTTTTTTCAACAGTAAAGTGAGGATAATTAAAATATCTTTCCAGGGTTGTGTCATTATCAAATAAGATTAAGTTTGTAAAAGCTTTGTAGACTCTACAGTTCAGGAATAATAACAATAATCAACATTTATTGCATGCAGTGTGCAGGCATCATGCTGAGCATGATGTGTAAATGTATGACCTCATTTAATCCTTATATCAACCTGTGTTGTTAATGGTTATTATCCTCTCTTACGAGTGAGCAAGGCAAGACACAGAGAGACTTAGGAACCTGCCGGGGCCGTGGTTATAAAGATAGAGCGATAATGGAAGATCGTACTTTGGAGAGAAATGTAGCAAGAAGTCTCTAAGAAGTATTTATGTCTCACCAGTCTGCCAGACTTCTTTGAGGAAGACACAAGAACTTGGGAAGGGAGGGCCCAGTGGAAATAACTTACTTACAAGGGTCACTCTCTTTACAGATTCAAACAACTAAATTATTGCAGGTTTGGGGATATTGGGTAGGAAACTCCAAGATTTAGAAATGTTAAGAATAAAGTTTATATGGGCTTAATACTGGTATGGTCTTAATATTTTTAGAAATAATCTAGAAACAGAAAACCAGAAAGCCTTAGAAGACAAACTTTCTTTTGAGATTGAAACTTTAGGGTTGCACATGCAAATGAAGTGAATAGAAACGTCACACAAAAACATCAGTGGTGCGCACACACACACACACAGAGCTGGGTGCTCAGTTGGTTGGGGTGTTGTCACATAAACAGATAGATTGAGGGTTCAGTTCTTGAGGGTTCAGGGCACATTCCTAAGTTCTGGGTTCGGTCCCCAGTCAGGGTGCATATAGGAGGCAACCATTGATGTTTTTCTCTCTCTTTCTCTCCCTCCCTTCCCCTCTCTCTAAAATCAATGAGTGTGTCCTTGGATGAGGATATAAATATAAATAAGCACATACACATATATACACATACATTCACATGCATGCATGCTCTCATAGTACATTTTAAAGATGACGGCCTCTGAACTGTCAGTAGTATCCTAGAAGGTGATCATGTAGACGTTTTAGATTCTGTCTGTTACTTCTGTTGTCTCTTCCTCTACCTCTTCCCTCTTTTCACCAGAAATCCTGGGTATCACCACAGAACATGTGTGAAGCAAAACGGAATCTGTTCACCTCTACAGACAGCATTAGCAGGGTTCTCATTACTAGGTGTAATGGAACTAGGCCAAAGTCAGTGATAGGCAATTAGAGTAGTTGAAGAAAAGGAGTCGTTTCACATACGAACAGATTGAAAGGACTAGAGTTTGTGTCTGAAATGAAGGTTTGGCAAAAATGTAAGTACTTTCTGAATTTAATTATGAAGTATAGATGAGGGGTAGATAATTTATTTGCCAAATTCTCTGGTATTCTACCACATACATCACCACCCGGCTCTTACAGAGAAGAGACATGGCCCTGAAGCAAAAGATCAGACCCTTGTTCCGTTAACAGTCTGAAAGCATAATGCTTAAAAATCTGAATAGTTCAGTGGCAAGATATTGAACTTAATGGAACAGTGATCTGTTTAATTATCTTATTTTCTTCAGAAATAATTAATTAGAGGAAATTGCAAGTAAAAAGAAAATACATACGTTATCTAGAGATTATTTTGGATTAATACTTGAGATGACTGTGTTCTAGAGGAAACCAATGTGTCCTTATTTAGGTGCAAGAAATGTGTGGAGACAATTCCACTGTCAAAGATTGTATGTAAACTCCAAGGTAGGGAGATTATGATTCTAAATGTTTTGCTGTTCTAGGTCAACAAAATCAAGACTTAACAAAATATGGGCCTTCATAGGAGACCTGTGAAATAAATAATAAAAATATTTGTATAGCTCTTCAAAGGGTATAAAAATGCTTTTACGTGAGGTATGGAAGTAAAGTTTGAGCTGGCTTGCTGGATGTTAAGTTTCTCTGCTTCATAGCTATACAGTGTGTGTTTCACTGGTGTGTTTCTAACTCCTAGCTGTTTTCTGAAGCAGACTCTTCAGTTCCTGTTAGGTGTGCCAGGGATGTCATGATCCTTTGTGGTCTGTGATTATATGTTACTGTGACTTTTAGGACTGTCGGCCAAAAATAGTTTTGTAGCAATAGAAGTCTTTGTTGTTGGAGTACTTTGCTTATTTCTTTTCTTTCTTTCTTTTTTTTTTTTTTCTTAGATCTGTTCTGAGGACCAAGATTCATGTGGGGGATGGTTACAGAGTTGAACCATGGTAGGCAATGAAAATATACATTCAAAATTGAATGAAACATCTGTCCTGGAAGGGGAATAGACTATGACTCTTAAATTTAAACTGGCTGGCCCTGGCTGGTGTGGCTCAGTGGATTGGGTGCCCACCTGCAAATCAAGGGTCACCGGTTCGATTTCCAGTCAGGGCACATGCGTGGGCTGTGGGCCCCGATAGGGGGTGTACCAGAGGCAACTATACATTGATATTTCTCTCCCTCTCTCCCTTCCTTCCCCTCTCTCTAAAAATAAATAAATAAAATCTTAAATAAATAAACTGGCTGCTCTGGTGTATGTCGAAGAATGTTGAGCGTCAGTCTGTTTACCTTTTTGGTTTCATAGGTCAAAGGAGTTTTGTTCTGTTGTTTCAGGATTATAGAAGAATTCGTTCATAGGGGATTTAGGAAATGTTGGATTAAGTAGGTGATGTATTCAAGTGCGTGCCAATAAGCCTTAATCCTGAGACGATTTCTTGAAAAAAGGAGTTCTGCAACCAAATTCATTTGGGAAAACTTTGCAAACTGGGTCCTGTCTTGAGTTTCAAAGTACACTCTGATCTTGTTTACTGAAGTGTAATTTGTAGTAATTAAATAAAGACAGCTTAAATATTTGTAGATGAAATAGACTCATACAGTATTACATAAATAGCAGTTAAAAAGGATGGACTAGATCTTGATCTTCTGTCGTGGATGGATCTCAAGAACATTAATTTAGAAAAATACTACAGAATGGGAGGTGCATTTAGAATATAGTTTGTCTGTTTTTAAAGCAGCTATATGCTTTTAACAGTATATCTGTGTAGGATAAAGTCTAAGAGGGGATAATGATCAAAGGGTCCTGTTTAGGAAGGGAAACAGTTGTATATTATTTGTAATAAGTATTAACTGGATACAAATAAAATGCCCGTTAATGCTGCACAGCAAGTTCCTTTCTCTTCTCTCATTGGTGATCTCTCCTCTGCTAATTCCAAGGCTATCTTTATATTTATTAATTGATTGTATACAAGTCAAACTGACTTTTGAACCTTGGTACTATAGAATAGAAAGAAAGCATTTTCATTCTAATCCACTGTAATGACACCTTTTTCATGCATTATAAGGAATAAATGAAGTAATATATACAAGCAGTTTAGGCCAGTGATTTTCAGCCTTTTTCATCTCAGGGCACACATAACCTAATCACTAAAATATTGTAGCACACCAAAAAATAAATTTTTTCTGCTTAGGAAAAAAATGATATAATTTTGATTCATTCACATCAGATAGCTATTGTTGTGTTGGATGTTGTGATATTTTTTATTTGACAGTCCAAGGCACATGTGGCAAACACAAGACCTGCAGGCTGAATCTGGCCCTCCACCTTGTTTTATCCAGCCGGGCACCTTGTTTCTACCTGGCAACGGTGCCAAGCTCCTGGTCTCTAGTTAAGGAGTAGTTACATTTATACAGTCCTAAAATTACATTTGGCCCTTTGAAGGCAACTGCAAGGCTGAGGTGGCCCCTGGTGAAAATGAGTTTGACACCCAAGCTATGGGAAAAGAGGTCAGTGCCCCTGACTAAATAGTCATTGCATGTTTTAAAAATTTTTGTGGCACACCAGTTGAAAATTGCTGGTCATCTAGACTGCAGATTTTCAAGAGATAGGCTTATTCAAGTTTATTCTATTTTGTCTAAGAGGTCTTTGGAGAGCAACAAAGAGAAGTTTGAACTTGGTTTTTATTTTGTTTTGTTTTTTTTAATTTTATTTATTTTTAGACAGGGGAAGGGAGGGAGAGAGGAAGAGAAACATCAGTGTGTGGTTGCCTCTTGTGTGCCCCCTTCTGGGAACCTGGACTGCAGCACAGGCATGTGCCCTGACTGGGAACTGAACCAGCAACTCTTTGATGCACAGGTGGGCACTCGGTCCACCGAGCCACACTAGCCAGGGCTACATTTTGCTTTTTTTAGTGCAGGTGACTTCTAGTTTCAGCTCTCATACTAGCATTATTATGATTGTTTGACATTTTCTAGTGTTTCATTGTTGCCAGGAACATGTGTGTCTCCATTTTAAAAATCTGTGGGAAGGTTTTCTTTAAGTGACCATTGTACTCTTCCTCTCCTGTGTCTCTGTAGTATAAACACCACCAAATTACTGCATCACCATTAAATACGTAGAATTTATCATGAATGTGGCTAAAGTTAGTACATTCAATGTCTATTTACAGATAAAGCTTGAAATTATTCTCTAGTAACAGGCTTATCAACAGACCGTTTAAATAAGCCAGTTTCTCCCAATATAAAGTCACAGAAATGTTTAAGACGTCATTTCTTCTCAGAACAAGACTGAGAGGCATAGAGCTGTCAGTTCTCTAGTTTGGCCGCGTGCCATGGACGCCCTAGGGAACCTGTTTTGAAAGTGTTCTAAATCATGTATATTCCTGTCTTGCAGGATTTTTTTCTGATCGAGAGGACAGTTCAGCATAGAGTGCAAGGATGAATGTTCACCGTGGCAGTGAGAGCGACAGGTTATTACGGCAGGAGGCCAGCTGCCTGATGGATGAAACCTCAGCTGCAGCCCAAGAAAAAGAAACAAGTAGCCTGACTACTTCTGGTCTTCAGAACCTTACCTACCCTCTAGGTCCCAGGAATGACGGTATGGTGATTAGATCTTACTGAGTTCGAGGGAGGGCCTTCTGACACCTGAGCACCTCCTCTGCCCAGAAGACATAAATGTTCTAAATAAAATATCCAGTGAATTGGCTTAACTTACATACCACAATTATATAAATTGAACCATCGCAGAAAATCAGTCACGTCTGCTTGGTGATAATGGTGTAAGAAAAATAGTCATGGATTTGCAGGCAGAAGATAGATTGAAGTTATAGCTCTGCTACCCATCAGCTGTAACTGTGAGTGAGCTCCTTAATCTTTCTGAGCCCTGCTTTTTTAATCTAGAAAACAGATTTTTTAAATTAATTTAAAAAATACATGTTTATTAATTTCGGAGAGAGAGAAAGAAACATTGATGTGAGAGAGAAACATGGCTTGGTTGCCTCTTACACACCCCAACCAGGGATTGAGCCTGCAATCTAGGTATGTACCCTGACCAGGAATCAAACCCTGAACCCTTCGGTGTATGAAACGACACTCCAGCCAACTGAGCCACACTGGCCAGGGCTAGAAAACAGGAATATGAATATTCTTACCTCATAAGGATGGAAGATGATGTGAAAGTTCTTGATAAACTGTTAGGTTCTTTTTAACTTTTAATAAAAACAGTACAGTTATTGAACACGCACTGTGCTAGGAATTTTATGTACGTCTCTTTAGATCAAGGGTTGCAAACTGTGGGCTGGACTGCTGCCTATTTTTGTAAATAAAATTGTGAAATACAGACATCATTCCCATTTGCTTACATACTGTCTGTGGCTGCTTTCCAGCTGCAGGAGCAGAGATAATGACCCACAAAGCCCAGACTAGTTACTTCCTGGCCCTTCACAGAAAGTTTGCAAACCCCTGCTTAGATTAGTCTTCCTTGTAAAAATAAGGAATCGGAGGCTTCAAAAGCTTGGGTGATTTGCTCAGGTTCATGCTGCTAAGATGTAGGGGACTGGGATTTGGACTCGTGTCTGTCTGGTTAGACTCTGCTGACAGAGGGACTGCCACCCTAGCATGTACTATTAGGGAGAATTTGTGCAATGAGTCCCTTTTCCTGCTCACCCAGTTAAGTGTGGAACCTGAGGAGTCCTTCAGGAATCTACCTGATTTAATTGCTTCATTGCTGGGGGGAAAATCAAGCTTTCTAGAGAACTGAGTTAGTGACTTTGACACCCACTTTCATTTAGAAAAACAGCACTGGCAGTGAAGGCCTGTCTGGTGGTGACGGTGTGTCTTGCTACTGGCTTGTCTGTGGATTGTGTGGCAAAATGAGGGCCACGGTGAAAATTTAAATCCTACAGAAGCTGTAGGATGTGAACCCTAAATTGTTTTTTTGGTCTATATTTTTCCTTTTCTCTAGAAACAAGTGGAGGGAAATTGGGTGTACTCTAGCTAACAGTTTATTGGTTATTTAAATGCCTGAAAATGGGTGGTAATTATGTTCATTAAATATTGTATAGAAATTTAAAATACAGGAAGGATTGGAGTGAGACATTCGGTTGTATCTACATTTTATTTCTTTCAAAAAAGGTCTTGAAGGAAATGGAGAAAAATGAATTTGCCAAATCTAGGTAATGGCATATACATATTGTACTAAGACTATGCTTCAATATGTTGAAATTTTTTCATTTAAAAATATTTGTTAACGTTAAAATAAAATATATTGGGAGAATTGCATATTTAAGAGCATCCTGTAGTAGCCCTTTAGTACATAGTTGCTCCTGCTTGTCTTCTGTGTACATCACATTTCATTAATTCCCTTTTAAGCCTCTTTTGCATGACGTGGTATCGCACATTTTTAAGTGCTCTCATGAACTTTCAGTTGATAGTCGATCCTGTGAGGTAGGTGCAATGAACATTGTTCTCATTTTACACAGGATGAAACAGGTTTAGGAAAGTAAATTACATAAAGCAAATGGCTCTTTGTTGATAGAAAAACTGAGAGTCCAAGCATGAATCCTAATCCAAGGCTATTTGCACTGTAATTTTGCTGCTGATAGCAAGAGCTGCCTGTTCAAAAAGTGGTGTCGATGATGTTTAGATTCTCCTGTGGTAGTGCAAGTGCATTTTTCTGTGATTTTTTTAGGAAAAGTGATACATCAGACAGAGTCTATCATTATCTTTCTGGAAAATAAAATTTGGAAACATTCTTGAAGAATGTGGAAAATAAACAGTTTAGGCACACAGAGGTAACAGGTTCCTAAAAACACAGGAAATACAAGAGTATTAGCGAGGGAAGTGAAAACAGAAGTAGAAAGTAATTACCTCTGTGGAACAAGCCGAGGGTGGGCATGGGGTGTGCCAGTGGATTACTGGTTTTCCACAGAAAGTCTTTTCTAGTGTTTATTTTTTTAAAACCATGTAGAAGTTTACTTTTAAAGTTTTTAATCATTTTTATTTTTAAATGTGGGTATTATTTTATCCCGTCCTCCTCCCCCCACACACACACACAGAAAAGAGCTGGTGGGGGGCCAACATAAGCCCTGGTTGTATTTTTTCTTTATGTTCTCTAGGAAGGAGTTTTTGCCTGTTGACCTCAAAAATCTTTGGCGGGGGTGTTTAATTTATTTATGTACCTTTGTTTTAAGAACACCGGGTTTATTTTTTTCCCCAGAGCTTTTTCTGTCGAGTTACTTGGTTCGTTTGTATGATCTTTTAGACCTTTCACCTGACTATGCCTCTCAGCTGGCAAATCTGCAGTTCCCTCACATGATGCCACTTCCCGAAGACGTCAAAGGCTCTTGCTTCCAAGGTGGGAGTAAACGGAACCATGAGCCCTTTACTTCAGAACGATTTGGAAACAGCACTGTGGGCTTTGGCAGTAACATTCATTCCCTGGCGCCAGAGAAAGTGACGCTTCTGGTAGATGGCACACGTTTTGTGGTGAATCCACAAATATTCACTGCTCATCCGGATACCATGTTGGGAAGGTAATTGATAATTTCTTTCCAAATGCACTCTGTTCTCTAGGAATAGAATATCTACTGTTTTATCTTGTTATAGATATGAAAATAAAAGGCATTACATTGCTGACTTTTCTGCCTTCCTACTTGGTGAGACAGGGAGTGCAAGCTGGTAAAAAACCTTACATGTGTTGGTGATTTGGGGGAGGTTGAATACTTATTTTATTTATAAAGCCAATATAGTGAACAAAAGGGAGTACCATCAGTTAGAACTATATAACTGCTAAATCTCATTCCCTAGTCCTCTATAAACTCACTCTAAAAAAGAAGTCAGACACGTAATTTCTTCTATTCACAATTTGCATAACCTCACAAAAGCAATGTTTTCTAAGTTCCACAAGTCAAAGACACTAGGGTAAGGTACGATCTGTAAATCAGAGTCTTTCTGTTTTTTGGTAGGGGTGGGGGGCGTCTTTTGCCTGTTAATATAAAAAAGAGAATTAGGCGTTTTCACATGACACGACACCACAGCCATTTCACTGACGCGTGTTCTTTTGCCTGCCATCTATCTGTGGGCTGTGCCTGGAGGCAGATGTCACACTGTCGTTTTCCAGAGCCTCCATCACTGTTTGTTTTCTGAAACGGGGTCCCTATATCTGGCTGCTTTGTTGTTTCCTGGTTGTTCTTTGTTCTTCATGTTTAATTCGGACTGTAGTCTTATCCTCCTCTCACCATCTCTTGCCCCAGCTTTCCAGGGTTAGAACTTAGACAATGGAAGGAGACTGACTGCTCAGGAGCACTGGCCAAAAGTCCCCTGGGGGTGTGGGCTGGGGCTTAGGAGGCCGCAGACCGTAACACGAGGAAGAGCAAATAGGATAAGAGTGTAAAATGTGTGCGTATATACACACACACATTTGGCTTTTGAGGATTTACATCTACTTAGAAGTAGATGTTATTTAAAGCTCTAACTTTACTCGGGATGTTGAATTAATTTGAAATGAATTAGAAGTCAGAGTGGACTGCACTAATTTCCTGATTTTAGGCCAAATGGGATGTAGCTATTCAAATACGGGTTTACTTGAACATACACATACAAAGTCATGATGAACCATTTTCAATCAAAACCAAACCTATATATTTCTCAAACATCTCAATTAACATTAAACTACAACATTAAAACATTTGCAAAATTGGCCCTATATTTTATCAGACTTGACTAACTGTACTGAATCTTGGTATTACCACTGCTAATGCCCAGCCTCCAGTCCCCCTCTCCCCACCCCCAGAAAGTTCCTCAGGGCAGGTCTGCTGTTTGCAGTAAGTTTCCTCTGAAAATAGGATAAAGAGAAGAAGGCAAGCATTTTCTAGGTAAGAGCTTCTCAGGTGACAGTGGTTCTTTGAATCTAGGAGTGGGTTGTCCCAAGACGACAGTCTGATGTCTTTACCTAAATGGCTCACTAGCCGAGTTGGCCGAGATCAGGAATTCTGAGTTACTCAGGTCTGTTGTGTTCTGCAGGTACATACATATTCACAAGCCCAGCCAGTGAGCTTACAGATGTGGACCACGGTCAGAGGGGACAGACTGAGAAGTTGAGAATGGGTTAATGCATATCTCTGCCACTACTAGAGAACTGTCTCTGAGTTTACGCCCTGCTGATGATGGGCGCAGGGAGGGCGGGTTGTATTTATGGCATGTTGCTCACTGTTTGGTTCATAACTGTCTCAGCTAGACCGCAACCAGAAGGTTCCAAGAAAATGTCAGCATTCTTTGCAGACAGCTTTTATCAGGATGGATTTCCTATGTATGGTCTAATGATTTGGAAAGCATGTGATATGGAGTCTTCTTCAGTCCTTTGACAAGCAGCCAATTCAGAGTGGAAATTGACAGTTTTGAACAGTTGAGCAGCAGGGCTTCCCAGCAGGTTAGGGTAGGAAGTGGCAGTGAGCCCCCACTGGGAACTCAAATCAAGCTGGCTATAGATAGCACCTGTCTTCCCTGTCTTTGGTGCTGGCTCCCCCCTGCACAGCTCATGCACAGAAACACAGCAGCGGTCATAACAGTCACAGGGCCAGTTTTACTGGAGGGGACTGGAGAGACAGGAGGGCGAAGGGCAGGTGAGTGAGAAAAGCCAGACTGCTTATATCCTCATGACGTCCGAGTTCATGCCCAGAACAGGCCTCCTCTCTGAAGTACGTCAAACTGCTGATGAGCCTGATAACACCTACCATCCTTTTCTACTTGACCTGACATTCCCATAGTTAAGAGTTACTCCTTGGATTGAAGAAGCCCCGCCCCGCAGGAGCTTCATCATTAAAACATACCAGGAAAGGCAAAGCATTAACATCTGTACCTACTAATACAGATTCATCTATTGGATTAGATGTTAAAAAGAAAAACTCAGGAATATTGAGGAGTACGTACCAGATCAGGCAATGTCGTTAGAGGAGGGAAAGGAATGGGAAAGGCCAGGACTGCATGAGACACTGTCTCCCTGAGCTGTCGGGTCTGTATAGTCAGATTCCTGGTCCGAGGGGAGGGCCAGAGAGGCACCTCATACACTGCAGACATTTTCCAAGGGCTGGCTCTGCAGATACTATTTTACTTCATTTGCTGTCACAGAACCTCAGGACAGTTGAACCTTGAGGACTTGTAGCATCATGCCTCCTCGCACTGAAATGCTGAAAGCAGTTGCTGCCTTTTCCAGTCTGAAGGGCATTTCCTAAGGCTTGAGTACATTGTGGGGGCTGGGTCCCAGTGCTCTGTTCACTCAAGCTAGGAGAGAGTGAAATGCAGTCTCCCCAGAATGAAGGGAAGAAAGAAGTCCTACTTCTGAAGAATCCTGCTGGAGCAGGTCACGTTGTTCCCTGGTGTCTTTCAGGATGTTTGGACCAGGAAGAGAGTACAACTTCACACGGCCCAACGAGAAGGGGGAGTACGAGATCGCTGAAGGAATCAGTGCGACTGTCTTTCGAACAGTGCTGGTACGCAGGAGCCTTTTTATTATGTCCTCAGCCCACGTGATCAGAAGCCCTGAGAGGGCTTCCCTCCGGCCTGTGTGCCTGACTTCAGGGTCTCTAGTTTCCAGTTACTGACTTTTCCACTTTATTTTTCATTCCTGTAACTTAAGTCTTTCTGTATGAGTTCAATAGGTATCAAGTTCTGATTAAATATGTCAGGACAGCCAGGAATCACTTTGCCGTTAAATGAATCAGCCACCTTGGTGATAGTGCTAATAGCCCATCACTTTAAGAGGACCAGCGATGAGTAGGGTGTTGAAGAGATAATTTTTCATCTTGTTCGTTGCCTGTGTTTCTTCTTCCTGATCTGTTTACAGGATTATTACAAAACCGGTATCATCAACTGTCCTGATGGCATCTCTATCCCAGACCTAAGAGATACGTGTGATTATCTCTGCATTAACTTTGACTTCAACACTATCCGATGTCAAGATCTGAGTAAGTACAGGAGCAGCTAAACTTAGTTTGCCTGGAACTGAAGCGTGGGTTGTAAATCATCACAGAGTCAGAGACGTGACACTGTCCTGCTCCCTCTCTTGCTGCAAAGCACTGAGAGGAAGTGGAGCAAAAAAAGAGAATGGGTAGTGGGTTCTAAATCTGGCTTGACCATGAGTCACCAAGTTAATTCCTTCCCCTCTTGGGACCTTAATGTTTCAGCCTTTTAACAAGTAAGGGTACTGATTGTCTGATATGTGGGGAGTCTCACAGATAAAGTCAAACAGCATAAATCGGCTAGGTTCATACAATTATTTTTATCATTATTACTAACTTAGTGTTTACTAAGTGCTTTACAGATGTGAACTTGCTGTAAGTCTTAAAATAACCATAAAAGATGGATGATAACCTATTTAACAAATGAGACTGAGAAATTAGCTTGTTCAAAGCTCTAAGCATTAAAAGCTGAAATTAGAGCCAATTGTCTGACTACAGATTCCATGATCTTATCATTACCTAGGCTTCCTGAAATTCCTTGAAGTTCATGATACATTTCCCTGCAGATTCCATAAAATTCTCTGGACTTGTGGTTTCTTTACCAGTCTAGTATATACTTAGAGCAAGTCCCCTGGTATCACCAAACCTCAAATTATTCCTCTTCTCTGGTACTCTGACTCCATGAAATTGAGATCCAGAGCATCTTCAGAAGAGGTACTACAAAGAATCATCCCCGAATGATGGTTCTTTTTCTTGTAGAATTAATGTTTATGGTATGACACTGTGTTCAACAAAACCTCTGATCAGAGTGCTCAGGGATTTTCAACATCCCTGAGTGGAAGCATGGTAGAATGTGAAGCATACCTAACAAAATCATCTTAGTTATCACCTTGGAGCCGGAAAACAATCTTGGACTGTCAGTGGGTCTCTTCTCTGGGCCTTATCAGTGATAACAGCTATTACCCCATAGTCCTTTTCACTCCAGTCACACACACACCTGGGCAGAGAGGATGTTCACCTGCACTTCTCCCCCAGGTGCTTTACTGCATGAACTGTCGAATGACGGGGCTCACAAGCAGTTTGATCACTACCTCGAAGAGCTGATCCTGCCCATCATGGTGGGCTGTGCCAAGAAGGGGGAGCGAGAGTGCCACATCGTTGTGCTGACGGATGAGGATTCTGTGGACTGGGATGAAGACCACCCCCCACCCATGGGCGAGGAATATTCCCAAAGTAGGAGCCACTTGCGTAACGTAGATGTTTTCAGCAAGAAACATGCTGCCCAGTGTAGCAGCTAGGTCCTAGAACCCCCATGAGTGTTACTGTTGAGCCGGTGGTGAGCACATTCGCCTGGACGACAGTGCCGTCCAGCCATGCGGTCTGACCGCTGTGCTGCGGAGCGCGGCGCAGTGGGTGCTCACCTTCCGTGCTACAGCTGCTGTCTGGCCCTGGTCAGTTGTGAGGCAGCACAGTAGATGGCGGTGTCATTCTTCTCTCCATACCTTTCGTTTTAAATCCTTTCAAATTGGTAGTAATTCAGAATGCAAAGGGACATGTACACTGAAAGGTCTTGTTCATGCCCCCCTGCCTCATCTGCCCAGTTTTCTCCACTTCTTCCAGATGTCCTCAGTGTGTATACATAAGCTCTTACATGTTTTTCCTTTTTTTCAAGTGACATTAGTATTACAGACTGTTGTACACCATTTCTTATATTGCAAGTTGCCATGATCGTCTTTATAGCACTGTGGTATTTATCACATGGTTGTGCTATAATTGATTTAACTAGCCCTGTTGATGGACATTTAAGCTATAAATTGTAAATGATGCGGCAGTGAATATCCTTTTAGACAGTCTTTTCAGACAAGCATATCTCTATAGAATAATATTCCTAGAAATGGAATTCCTGTGTCAAAAGCTTTGTACTTTCATAACTTCGATGGATGTTGCCAAATTATCCTCAAGGTTGAGCCACTTTATACTCACAAAACATATGAAGGTTTTCTGCACCCTTACCAAAATAATGTTTTACTAAACTTTTATATTTGCCGTTTGAGTTTTAATTTGCATTTCTCATTTTACGAATGAGATTGAACATCTTAATTTTTAAGAGCCATTTTAATTTCCTTTTTTGTTAGCCGTATTTGTGTCTTTTACCCACTAGAAAATTGGATTGTTAGTCTTTCACTTAGCAATTTGTGGAAGCTCTCTATTTGTCATTGTTCTCTCTATATATTGAGGAAGCTAGCCCTTTGTAATATGAGTTGCAAATATTTTTTCCAGCTGATTATTTGTCTTTTTAGCTTTAATAGTGGTTTTGACTGAGTAGAACTGTATTTTTGTGCAGTCAAGAGTATCAGCTTTTATTGCTTCGAGGTTTTACGTCATACCCAGAAAGGCCTTCCTTATCCCAAGATTATAAAAATACCTTGTATGTTTTCTTTCTTATGGTTAACTTATTATTTAACATTTAATCTGTGATCCATCTGGATTTTTTTTTCTTCAGGGCAAAAAGAAATACAGCTTTCATTAGTCTGATTCTGTTAGCCCATCTCTTTCCTCTACAGAAGTTGTTGCTCCATAACTAACCACACATCTTCCTCCCTCCCCCCACCCCAGTTCTTTATAGCTCCAAGCTCTACAGATTCTTCAAATATATTGAGAATCGGGATGTTGCTAAAACAGTGTTAAAGGAACGGGGCCTAAAAAACATTCGCATCGGAATTGAAGGTAAAAATGTCCCAGTCAGTCAGTATGTAGCTTATGGAATAGGTTGGAACAATGGCCCAGCTTATGTTCTTAAAACCCAGCTTCCAGAGCTCCTAGACAATGGACACACATGTAAACCAACTTTCTACCCAAGTCTGAAGGATCTTTATTTCTGTTTTTGTTTGCTCTTAACATTTCTTTTTCACTTTATTTCCTCTGGTGGGTAAATGGAGCAGGTCTGGTGGGCTCACGAAGTGGGAGAGCTGTGTTGCCAGCAGTCTTGGGTGCATATCTTTCTGGGATCTAGAAGGGTCCTTCTAAAAGCTATAGCTTGGAGACTGAAAATTTAAGTTTATTACACTATATACCTTTGAGAAATGCCCGGGTATATTGATAGAATTGCCTTAAATGACCTTGACAATGACTCCCAACCTGTGGGCTCCATGGAAAGGTCTCAGGGACTGAATCCCAGACAGTGCTGAAGCCATCCTGGTCTCCCTTCCACGGGTCTTTGACTCTTGTGTTTTGCTACTTTTACGTCTGTCTTGCCCACAGAACCCGTCAGACCTTCCTTGGGTATGTCTTAGGTTGGAATTTAAAGTTGGAAGAGATTTTTGAGATCATCTAGTAAACCTCTTTCCACTGTGTACTTCCCATCTCTCTTCCCAGGCGATAGGGATCTCTCCATTTCCCAGCGCAGCACCCCAGAGCATCCTATCTTAGAAATGACCGCCTCCGGCTTCTGTCTGGACTCTGAAGCTACTCTGAATAAGATTCCTCCCACTGCCATGTGACAACCTGTCAGATAATTTAGGCAGTCCACATTCCCTTAACTAGTTCTCATACAGTGTGCCTGCCAAGCAGTAGAATTAGAAGACTGGAGTAGCTATGCCCTAGCAGGATTTTTGTTCTGCAGTATTGTTGCCAGCAACTAAATCTTATGAAATTACTAGGAGGCTTTTCTCCCTTCCACCAGAAGAGAGAGAATTTGTTACTTCCCTTCTAGGGATAAGGCCGACTAGTCGAGCCAGAGGGAAGACAGCATGTTGGGGACTGGGGCTGGGAGGACACGGTCAGAGGCTGGTCACTTCCCTAGTAGTTTTCAAGCATAATCTTTGGGTTTGGGAGGAAATTGATGCCGGGAGGAAGGAAGAAGGATAGAAGCCAGAGTGAGCATTTGCTGAAGTCATGAGAATGGCCTTTTGCTGTTTCAGGTTATCCTACCTGTAAAGAAAAAATTAAGAGAAGACCTGGTGGTCGATCTGAAGTAATCTATAACTATGTGCAGCGTCCCTTTATCCAGATGTCATGGGAAAAGGAAGAAGGAAAGAGTCGCCATGTGGATTTCCAGTGCGTTCGGAGTAAATCCCTCACTAATCTGGTAGCTGCTGGAGAGGATGTCTCGGAGGACCAGGAGATACTAATGCATCACCCGCCCCAAGTGGATGAACTTGATCGGCTAAATGCCCCGCTTTCTCAGATGGCTTCAAATGACTTTCAGGATTAGGGCCAGCTGTGGGTCCAACCCTCTTCGAAGTTTTTCTCCGTCTGGGCTGCCCAGAGCCAGTCCTCCTCATGTGTAAGAGACATGCTTCTCCCCTCCTTTATGCCATAATTAATGTGCACCCCTTTCAGTATATTTGCACCTCTGGCAGGGGATGAAAGAGCACTCACTGGTAATCAGCTACCAGCTTTGCAGCAGCCCTGGTAACTTGAAAATTTAGGTCTGGTGCTGTTCACTGAATCTGTGTAACTGCAAAAGCAGAAAAGGAAGTCAAGACTCCTGTTGCCTCATTCAGCAAAGCAGTTCTCATCTTTTATGCTTTGTTCTTGGCTTTTGTGTAGTTTGCTTTATACCAGGCACATTACTTAGTAGCAAAGGGACCAAACTTAAAAGGAGACAATCTCTGTCTTTAAACAGACACTAATGGCATACTCATTGGGGGTTACATTAAGATGCCGTTCCTGGTGGCACCTGTGCCCAAACTGTGTCAGGGAAGTAGGCTGTCATTCAGAATGTCTAAAAGGAAATTCTTAGGCGCTTAAATGCAGTTTTGTTTTTTCATTAATGCAGCGAACAATCCCAAACCACACAGATTCTGTGACAGGAAGGGTAATGGCATAACAGTATTTATGAAACCTTAGCTTCATGGTGTTCGAGCCAAAATAAGTTACTAATTTTGAAGGAAATTCACAACTCAAGTAGAAGAACCTCTCCAGGTCAGGCCACTCCGATGGTCTTGGCTTGGAGTCTGGTGTGAAGCCTCAGGTCTTTGCCCTGGAGCAGCATGTTGCCGTGGTGTGGCTGGGAGGCCTCTGGGGCTTTAGCACTTAAAGGCTTTTGGGATGTGGGCAAAAGTTTCTCAAGAGGGCCGTTTCTCAGCAGGACACTTGTAAGAGCTCCAGTGAGGGAGCATTTGGGGTGAAGCTGGTTGGGGAAGCCTCACCTGCCCAGGCTTGCTGCCAGTACAGGGCTTTTCTTTGTATATTCTTTTCATATGTATGGAGTACTTTTCAGTATCGGGATATTTTTAATTTTTGAAATAGCCTATCAGCTGCTCACACTGGATAAGAAACCATACTAATGTCATCCCAAAAGGATGAGTTGAAGGGAAATGAGACCTAGTAATTGTCTTTGCTCTGTCAGCTACATGTTAATGCACGGTGTGCGACAACCCAGACCACTCCCCGCACTGAACCACCTTCCCCGCCCTGATGTCACCATGGCTGGAGCCCAACAGGCTGTGGGAGCATCTCCCACTTTGTGTGCAGCCTGGCCCCCCAGTCCCCTGCCCAGAGAATGTGCTGCTCATAGATGACAGAGAGGCACATAGTTCCCTTCAAGTTCTTCAAGGCAGGAACAAGACCAGTCTTCTTCAGTTACACTCCCATACAATACTGTAGTTGATTCTCTTTCACAACTGCATTCGTCCCAGTCCTCCAAAGGTGAAGTCAGAAGGGTGTTGAAAGCTGCCTTTTCCAGACTTGAACAAGAATGTCTTAAGAAGTGTGTTCTGTGTGCATGTGGTCAGCATCACAGTGGAAATCAACACTCTGTTCCTTACTCTGAAAAAGTAAAAGGGGTTAAACTGAACCATTCCCCTTTTATAGACTTCTGACTACCACTGGTGTCCCTTTGTAAGGCTGAAGGCTGGGGCTTAGGGTTAGAGTTGTTTTGTAGCCAGAGGGTAGTTTTATTTCTGTGAAACTTGGCTCATATTTGATGTCAGGGCGGCTGTGACCTTAGCAGTAAACGTTCATGCCCTCTGGTAGTTGACTAGCCCAGTATTGTTTAATGGTGCTTCCTTTATACTTTTCAGTTGACTTCCTTGTCATTGCAAAGGAAATTTGCAGTCTGTTTGTGTAGTCTGTTAGGTATAACTTCTGTTCAACAACTAAAATGTCATTAACGTTTGGTAAGTGTCACCCTGCTGCAGCTATACTCTAATTTAGTCCTTGCTTAGGTAGAAAGCCAGGTATGAAAGTATGGCATGTACTTAACACTTTTTTCCGTGTAAATGTTACACTTACTCAGGCTTTCAAGAACTAGATCTTTCTTCCCCGTATTGGGTTAACATGGTTTTGGCCCCAACCCCATTGAAAATCTGTGGAGGTAAATCTGCCAGTGTCACCAGGTGATGGTGACTGGGGAAAAAGCTGGGCCCTCAGGCTGCTTCTGCTGGAGAGGGAGGTTTTTCCTGCACCCATGGGCTCCCAGCCTGGAGCTCGGCATCACTGTGATCTGTGGCTCCCCTCAGTCATAGCTGCTCTGTTCCCATGGTCAAGTACTGGCCCCCTGGGTAAAAAGTGTTTCTAACAAAAAGGGTAGGACTCAGGTTTGGTGTTATTTCTAAGTGCCTAAATAATTAAGCCAGGCAGTTTATACAGAAACATTTTCATAAGGTAATGGTTTTAGGCAGACTATTTTACTCAAGAGGTATCTCAGCAAGCCAAGATGAACCTGAATTTGATCTTTCAAATCCAGGGCTGTGTCTGCATCATACCACATGAGCAGGAATTGCCATTGAGGACTCTAAGAGTAGTGGATAAGGAGACAGTGTTAAGATGTGTCTGGTGACATCAATGATTTCTCCGAAGTGGTGGAAATGCATTGAGAAAGAATGAATGACAGCAAAAGGTAAAGAAGCTAGAAAGTAGCTGGATTTACTGCACACGATATGCAGTAGCCAATATTATTTTAAACTAAAGTCCAAGAGAACAGTGTGATATCTAATATATATAGGTCTACGAAAATACTATGAAATAAGCCCAGGAAGGATGGATATATTTGCAGATAGTGTTCCAACAGGTCCTTTTGTGTAAGTAAAAACAACACAGGCTTTAAATCACACTGTCGGTGTGATATGGAGCCTTTTTTATGGTGTGGAACTATAGGAGGGGTTTGAGTACTTTATTCAGTGCCACTTCTTGCCGTCGGTTTGAAATTGTTAACATGGGCTGAATTTAGAATGCAAACCCTACGTCTTTGTGGGAGATGGAGCAACATTCAAGCTCTGGGCGGGACCACCTCTGCAGAACGTTTTCTCCTAAAGGCAAAATGCCTTTAGTTTTGCCTCTGTGTTTAAAGTTGCACATGTTCACCTACCAGTGTTTACGAAATCCTGTATTTGGGATGCTTTTTTTAATAATAAAATATTATCATTTGTGTGTGTGTGTGTTTGGAAGAAAGTAAAATTAGAAGTCAAGATTTTAGAAGGGACTGAACAGAGTAGCATTGGCCTGCCCAGAACAGTCTCCTTACCTGCGGCGGCTGTGCATGGGTCTTGCCTTAAGCCTTTTGTGTTTCCCACCCTGCTGTTTCCTTTGTACCTCTAGCTTCCAGAGTCTTAGTGGTCTCCCTTTTCTAGTTCCTGGGTAACTTGCATTCCAGACCCCTTAAGCCCTCAAACTCAACTAAATAGGATCCGGCAAAGTGAAATGTACATTTGAAAGGTAGGAGGACTCAAACTTCAAAGTTCCAGTTTTAGTTTATAGCAAGTGAGAGGTGCCAGCAATGAAAAGCAGGTGGGAAGATAGAGCAGAGTGCAGGCAGGTCCCTTGGAGACACAACTGGAGAGACTTTCTCATCCTTTGGTATCAGATTGCACCCTACTCAGGTCTGGTATCTACTGAGGCCCCTAGGCTCACCTAGCCTGGGAGGCTGCTGGTGATGCAACTTCAAGGGGTGCTAAGGCAAGCCTGTGGCTCCCTAGCAGACCTGCTTTATCAGCATAGGTTAGAACATGCTCTGAAGACATGGCCTGTTGAGTATATTTTGTGCCAAGCTGTGTATGACATACGGTTCCATCAAAAGGCCTTTTATAATCACATGAAGACATTTATGAACAGTCTAGCTCACTCAGGAACTTCAAAAGGGTGGAGTAGCCAGTTTTTACTGTGAAGGGTGGAATTCACAAGAGAATTCTAGGGGTGACTCATGACCAAATTGTGAAGGATAAATACTAGGTTTGGATCCATAAGTACAAGGGTAGGTGGTATCCAAGGCAACTTAACTGTAAGCAAAAGTGACAGTAACTGCTTATTGTCATCAGGAAAGTGGATGGGTGATGCAGATATGAGGTCAGAGTAAGGATGTTCCTTGGAGAAAGGCGTGTCGGGAGCCTGCAAGGGTTTTATGCAGAATGACATGATCAGACTTGAAATTTAAAAGAATTTCTTTGGCAGCAGGGGGGAAAACAGACTTGCAAAAAGGACCAAGGGCAAAGAGGTCATTTAAGAGGCCACTAGGTTCAGTAAGGAATAATGAAGGCAATGGTAGGACAGGTGGCCATGTCCTAGACATGCTTACTGACAGGAACCATGTAAGAAGTATCCAGCTTGGACAGTTGGGGAGACAGGAAAAAAGGCTGTGGAGGCGCAAGAGGAGCTCTGGACAGCTTCAGTCTGAGCCTGAAGGCGGCCCTCCACTGGCAACGTCTAGCTGGCAGTTGGCTCCGGGAGATCTGGAGTGTTCTGGGGAGCAGTCTGGGTAGATTGGTCACTTTGAAGACCTCGCCACAGAAACATGGCAGATAGAGCCCCAGTATGGGACTGAAAAAGAGGGCAAAAAATCATTGCTCTGAGGAGCACCACCAGCATTTAAGGGGTGGCAGAGGAACTACCAAGGAGCAGTTTTTAAAGTCAACAGTGTGAGTGCAGCACATTGATCAAGTAAGGTAAGGAGCAATGGCAGGGCACCAGTGCCCAGAGGAATAATAATAGAAATTAATAGCAGCATGCTTTATACATGGCATAATTAATACCAACATTTCACACAAGGGACAGGAACCAGACTGGCGTGGATTCAAGTGGGAGGGAAATGATGCAACGAAAGTGACTGCAGTGCACCCTGTGAAGCAGTTACCCAGAGTTCCGTGCCTGTACTGTTCACTCCCCTCTGCCAAATTACTGCTGTTTACAATCATCTTCCAGAAACTTCCCTAAGCTTCCCAGCAACTCTGGGCTGGCTTAACAGTATTGTTACACTGACAGTGAAACACCAACTTTGCAACTGATGCTGCATTTAAGCCACTGAAGTGGGTAGGAATTCTCCCCTCAAACTGATCTGCAGTCAGAACCACAGAGCACTCGTGTCCCCCAAGTGCCTGGTATTGAACTCTGTATATCACGGGGGTTAAATGTTATTTAGGTAAGATGTTTTTCTCTGAAAAAGCACATGGTAGTTAGTTTAAATCTGTGTTGGCTTTGATAGGTAATTCCAGGTCAATGTATGCTACCTAGGAAGGGAAAATACCATTCACTGAATCCTTCTGAGTCCTAAAAACCCCCTTCAGATAACACACCAAGGACCAGGAGAGACAAACAGGGTCCAGGATACATACTTTCCAAGGAAAGAACCCAGATAAAAAGTATTAATAATAAATAGCAGAGGATTCCTATTATGCCGTATAAATGAGTTTTGAAATTATCAATCCCAAAGGAATTCATCTGTTACTTTTGCAAATAATTCTAAAAAGAAACCGGATGAAGGCACTGAAGAAAATTCTGATGTGCTCTGAATCAGGAAGAAAAACATCCCTAGTTCAGGTTCATTTCAGTATGCACTACAGTTCAAGTTCTGTATTTTCTAACTCCCATGAACACAGTGGGAAACAGGACTATCTGCGAACAGGACCAACAGTGAGCCAATCCCAGCAGGTTTGCAATGAGCCTTGGAAAAACAGTAGACATCCTGACTGCGTTTAGCTGCCTTCTGCCCGCAGGTCCCACCCTAGTCTTGCCCTTTCCTGCCCCTTCCTGAGGCTCCTTTCCCTAACCTAGAGGGGGTAAGAAGTGGGACCCAATAGGACTCATGTACACAAGATCTGGAGACGAACCCTGCTCTGGTGGACACGGGCGGCTGAGAGTCTCATCCTACGAGCTTTTGAGATTGCTGGTCAACCACAGGCTGGGGGCTATAAACAGATGTACAAAGGGTCCACCAGTTAAGAGCACTTGTAGGAAGCTCTCCACCTGGCCTTACCATGAGGGGAGAGCTCACTGCCCTGTAACACGGAACCAGGCAAAAAGAACACGCATGGGGCCAACTGAAGATGGTCTCTTGATATGAAGAAAAATTCAGAAGACTCAGGTCCCAGCTTCCCTGGGAGAGAAAAGCACTTTGCCTACAGACGGTGATACATGTAAGCTTTCTACCTCTTTTAAGGAGAAACCATATTTCACTTTTTTCGCAGTTTTTGAACAGTTTATTAAAAAGTTTAAAAGTTAAAAGGTGGACATTTACCCCTTAAACAAATTACCCCCTGCCACTCCCCAACACACGGACTATCACCACTCCTGTTACATCTCCTCACCCATGCATACCACACACTCTTGCAAAACACGTGGGGGTCAACACCCCAACTATTTGGTAATACAAAGAAACTACAAATTTACCAAAAAAAAATTCTCATTTACTTCCTTTTCACTAATAGATCATGAATGAAAGATTAAGGGGCAGACACATTACCTTAATCCAGAGTTAATACTTCCTTAATGTTTTTTTCTTCCTCTAAGACAGTAAAATCCAAAGCAATTTCACTTACTACTACAACTTTGAATTCCATTTTTCTTTTCTGAATGGCTAAGATAGGACATACTTTCCCAGATGATCTTAACAACATCAAGACAAGCAGGAAGCAGTCCCCTGACTGGAGCTTGGCCATGACGTTCCGCAACAGGTAAAGTTACCACACAGGTGCAAATGATGCTTTCAGAGTTATTGAAATTTTAAAAAGTAATAATGCATTTATATGGAGTCTCCACAATTATCTGACAGCAAAATTCCTCTAAAGATGGTGGCAGCTGTAAAAGAGAAGGCACTTTGTGCTGAATTTCAGAGGGTGTCTCATGGGAGCATGCCACGGCGGCGGCCCGGCCGTGGGCCACCCTGTCCAGTAGAGAGGAACATCCCCCAGAAAGGCATCTGCAAAGGAAAACTGTAATCGTGCTCCCCATGCAAAATGGTACTTAAAAGTTGGGGAAGAAATACAAACACAGAAAGAAAACAAACACAGCTGCACTGAGGATGGAGCAGTGAACTTGACAAAGATCTGTAGGCTGGCTCTGCAGTGCACCTTCTATTGGTCTAGTTCTTTCCCCATTTCAAAGGAGGTTCTGGAGACCAAGCAGGAGCAGCACCTTAGCCAAGAGGATTCCAAGCCTCCTGCCTCTGCCTGGCTCTCCTTACTGTGTTCCCAGGATAAACCAAATGCCCATCAGCAGCACTTGCAGGCATTGCTGGCTCACGGTAACATCCAACTGAGGGATTTTCTGATACAACCATGAAGAGAAAGTGAGGGTTTTCCACGTGATCCAGGACTCCTTGGCAATGCCCAATGGCTTTAGGAGCCTTCTAAGAACAACAATGGATCAAGCTGGTATTCCCCCATCAACACTCAGAAAAGCAGCATGAGTATTTCAGATGGGTGGGAAGATAAAAATCAACGGAGTGAGGGTCTTTAGCCTAGTACCATAAATAAAGTGCACCATGAATGGAGGCTATAAAAAGCCACTTGACTGGGGTGGGGTATGGGAAGAAACTACCATCACCGCCCCGTCAGAGAAAGGTGGATCATTTTCTTCAGCCAGAATGCTGGCTGCTGAGGCTTTCATTATTGCTTTATTTCCTTAGTACTATGGAACTTTCAGCTGTAAAGGAAAAGAAATACTTGGTGGGCTTGGCAGAAAGCATATCACAAAATTGCAGGAATTGGCTGTTACTCAGTGTAAGTATGCATTACAATTTCAACAATGTGGGATGACAGCTGTTTTTTCCCCCGTCATTCTGATGAATTCAGGAAAACATCTATCAAATTGGCTCACGACACTCCTACGGAAACTGCTTATGGCTGATGTAGTAAAAATGGCTGTCTTTGTTTTCCAGCTTCTCAGATGGTGCTTTGAAGAGCATCTACTCACTATCACATTTCAGGCAAGTTTACCAGGACATACTGGTGGGTTCCATAAACTTCTCGGAAGCTCTTTCAAAAGAGTGTGTGAGAGGAACAGTGCGATGCTGCACAAAGAACTCTGCTCTATTTAGGGTTCCGTTCCAAGAGTCCTATTTTGCTGCTTTCATGTAGGAAGGTATTGCCCCCCGCGCAGTCAGGCCCTCAAAGCGCTTGTACGTGTAATTGATGAAGACCCAGTCCTTGTTCTTGTAGTCAGTCTCAGGGTGATTACTTGTTGCCACTGGGAAAGAAATAGATGTGAGAGTTCATTTACTGTCTTACCCCGATGGACCACTGGGTACTGAGGACAGGACGTTCTGAAGAAAATACCAGTTTCTATTTGGGAAGAGCTACGTTTCACTCTGTGCGAATTTTGTGCATTTGTGCTTGCCTATAGATTCCTTGAACCTCACTTGTTTCACATGTACTTTAAATGTTTTATTTTCCCATTTCTGTCATTTCAGGTTACCTAACCTTTAATTTAATAAATAACAAGAAAAGAGATCTTTGTGATTTACCAGCCAGCTGAGCAGGTTAAACATGGGAGTTTGTATTCATCTTTCTTTCGACAAGGCCTCGCTAGTGCCCAGCGTCAGCACTGGAAAATACTTACGAAGAACCCGAAGAACTGAAGTCCCTCTCCATGTTCTCTGCCCTGATTTGTAAACATCACCCCAAAACTGGGGGGTAAGTAATGCATTTGTAAGGCAGCAGGAGGCAGTACTGGTGGTATTACCTGTTGGCTTAAGAATATCAGATTCTGGAAACTCATCGAAGTTTGAGGTATCATCAATGCTTTTGATTTCAATAGATATTGCAGCAGGTCTCTCTCTGCCAAGAATAGACATGCCAAAAATTACTATGATTAGTAATCATGTGGATCATAATTAATCGAGTCTTCTCCAAAGAAGACCACTGGTGGCAGGCAGCATTTATGTTCTCTGAAGAGCTTCTGACCACGGACCAACTAGGCCAACTGACTACAGCCAAAAAAAAACCAAATTACAATAAAAAAATACAAAGAACAATTATTCACAGCTAGGAAGACAAGAGCAATAAGGAGAAATTAAAGTCCACAGTTAGGTACTCCTCCTGACAGACTGCCCTGTCTGCTACAAGGGAACCTGGACTTTCTATCAGAGGTGCACATGAGCAGGGGGCTAAAAATGCAGCACACCGGAGGCAGAGGTAAAAATCACAAGGATGCAAGTCAGAACACAGCTGTGAAACAGATGACAACTTCACCTTCTGTTTAGCAACCATCACGTGCTGAGTAAGTGGCCAGAGGCTCTCTGATACAACTGGGCTGGTGGCCCTCCACAGTCTGGAACAACCTCCTCTTCACCCCCCGCACCACTGCCTGCCCCAGTCCTTCCACCCCTTCTCCTTCTTCATCTCCCAGTGACAGTGCCTAACCTCTGGGCAGGGACTGTCCTGCAGGTGGTCCCCAACATCAGAGAGGTTGGTGTGTTCCAGGTAAAAGAACAGGCGTCTTAGATGTCCCCTTCACCATGGAAGCCAAAGTTCACTTCACCATGGAAACAACTGCTAGGTTCAACATATCCCACGGCTCAGGGCCAACCAGAACCCCCAACTTCCAGTCCTTACCATGAATCAAAATCAGGAAGACACCTTGAACTTCTAAGAAGAAATTAATGACACAATTTGCCAATAATGATGCTTCCAAATGAGTATTAAGCAAACTAGACTTTCTGAAATAACCCTGAAAGCTTTTATATGGATATACCTGATATGTTCCCAGTCAACGCCTTCGAAAAAAGAATTACGTTTGATTTCCTCAACTCCAGAGGCTCCAACCCTATGTTCCCATTCACAGCAGAATCTGGAAAAGACAGAGGCCTTCTCAGCATATCTCAAGTAGTCTCTTCTCTTTTAGAAGAAATGGGAAGAAGCAGGGGACGACAAATCCAGGAAATAATGAAAGCCTACAAAAATGGATTCACTCACGTCAGAAAGCCTAGGGTGGGGGAATGTTCTCTGACTGATACCTCAAAATTAGGTCCTTGGCCTTCTCAGAGACAGGAACTTCTGGAGGAAAAGTCAAAGTTTCTTTCCAGTTCATCACCTTCTTATATGTCTCTTGAGGGGTCTCAGAACAGAAAGGTGGGTAGCCTGCAGTAAAAAAGGAACTTGGAACTTTAACAATGCAAAACTTTGAATCTGAGATTATTCTCCTTCATATGATTCTATAAATCTTTAATGACCTTGTATGTCCTTCCCTCCATGACACAGACAGGATTTCCACTCATCCCAGAACGCACCTAAACAAATTTATCTTCCCCCAAACTCCTAAACCCAAAGTGAGGTTGTGCTTCTGGAACCACGAGGGAGCCACCCAATCACAGGAGCTGGGGAAAGGGAGGAGGACATAAGCAGAGTTGCAGATGTGGGAATGGCTGTGACCAAAGCAGACAGGAAAGGATGAAACAACATCAGTAAGAAACGACTCCATTTTAAGAACATCTTTATGTGGGTAAAGAGCCAAACAAGTTGAGTAAGAAAAAAAGCATGGGTTTTAGCCCTGGCTGCTATGGCTCAGTGGACTGCAAACCAAAAGGTCACCGGTTCAATCCCAGTCAGGGCACATGCATGGGTTATGTGCGGGCCAGGTCCCCAGATGGGGGCACGCAGGAGACATCAGATCCATGTATCTCTCACACACTGATGTTTCTCTAAAAGTAAATAAATAAATAAATAAATCTTTAAAAGAAAAATAAATAAATAAATAAATCTTTAAAAGAAAAGCGATTCTTTTTCTTTCCTTAAAAAAAAAAACAACTTTATTTCTTTTTAGAGAGGGGAAGGAAAGGAGAGAGGGGAAAAAACATCAATGTGTGATTGCCTCTTACGTGTCCCCTACTAGGGATCTGGCCCACAACCCAGACATGTGCCCTGACTGGGAATCGAACCAGTGACCCTTTGGTCCACAGGCCAGCACTCAATGCACTGAACCACACCAGCCAAGGCTAAAATCTTAAAAAAAAAGAAAAAAGTGGGTTTTGGAAGTGATCACCACCCCTCTTCTGAGAACTACAGGCAAGAGGATAAATACACTATATTACTCTACCTGCCCTCCACACAGATTACAGCCACCCCACAGGCATCCATGCAGTGCTCCCAAAGACCGCACAGCCAGACAGATGCCACACCGGCCATCACCCCAAATACACGGACTCTCCTAGTGCTCTCAGGCACAGGGCTACCCCACTGAAGTGTCCCCTAAATAAAACATTACCGATCTGAGTAAGAGGGAGCGAGGTCAGAGAGTTCCATGCTTTGAAGGCCTTGAGAGAGGAAGGGGACAGCAAAGAAGAAGAGTGGATGAGGCAATGCCCAGGTAAAGCCCTCTGCATACGATGGGTGTTTAATAAATGCCAGTGACTGAAAGAGCTGCTACACAGAGAGGATGAAAACACAGGAAAAAACCATGATAAATGATCGGCAAAGCAACCACAGGACATCAGTGCACCACAGAACACAGGATACATTTTTTTGGCCAAGAGTTTTCTACCTGGGAAGCTTAACTTTGAAAGATGGGGGAGGAGGAGCCTGGCCAGGTAGCTCAGTTGGCTACCGCATCATCCCAATGCACCAGAGCTGCAAGTTTGATGCCTGCTCACAGCACATTCAAGAAGCAACCAATGAATGCATAAATGGGTGGAACGAGAAATCAATGTTTCTCTCTCTTTCTCCCTTCCTCTCTAAAATCAATAATTTTTTTAAAGTTAAAAACAAGAAAGATGGAGGAGGAGAGGGAACATAATCCCAAATTGAAAGAGAGTTTATTATTTAACAATGTAGGAATTTTTCCTGGCTACACAGAAAAAGCCATGTAAAAGCATGCTACTTACCGATGAGCATCTCATACATGATCACTCCAAGCGACCACCAATCACAGAGCTTGTTGTACCCGGTCTGCATGAACACCTCAGGAGCAATGTAGTCAGGAGTACCTACTGTGGAGAAGGCCTGAAACACGTGCCACACATCAGGGAGGAGGCAGGCAGGAGGGTGCCCAGAGTTCTCTTCTACAGACCAAAGGCCACCAGCACCATCTGGAGCTACCCACGAACTAAACATACAGGAAGGCCTAGCTGCTTAACGGCAAACCTGATTTGCCAGAGCACTTCCAAAATGAAAAATAAAGCTTGTTAACCCAACTTTGCAGATCTGATGCCCAAATTGCTTTGCCGAAGGCCTCAGAACTAATTAAGTGGCAGAGTGCAGTTAGGAAATCACCTGGCTCCAAATCATCCCTTTCTGCCACATACATTCTTTGATTTGAGAGAATTATTAAGGGAAGTTTTATTATCAAAAGCTAAAGTTATATCCTATATGTCAAAGGATTATAAGTGTCTATTTACCAAACTTAACTCTTTATGTAAACAGTTCTTACAGGAATGTTTTCTAAAGTAAAGTGATCTCTTCTCATATACCAGGACTGTAATGCTGGGGAGGTGCGGCCCAAGCTGCCCAGTGTGCCCAGCACGGAAGGCTCTAATCTTGGTGCTTTCGCTATTATACAACTTCTAGACTTAAAAATTACAGCTGTGTTCTCTTTTTAAACTATTTATTATAAAATACGGCAAACATACAGAAACGAAGCACAGACAAGATAATACACAAGTAACCATTACCCATATTAAAAAGAGGTTAAATAAGGTGCCATATTTGTCTCAGACTGTCTTTTAAAAGAAATAAAACTAAAATGATTAAAGCCTGATAGTCTCCCTCCCTCCCTCCCCACCGAGGCTAGAACCTCCCTGAGGTTGCTATGCCATGCTTGTATGAGTATGGACATAAGTGACGTAGCACCAACTCCTTGTATATTTCAACTTGGGCTTCATACTGTACTGTATTGTTCTACAAGGCTACAACTTGCTTTTTTTCCCTCCGATTATAAATGAGAGTAATTCATGTAGCTCCAGCATGCCCATTTTATTCCTGTGTACACTATTCCATTACACAAATGTCAATGTTTTCTTTTTTTTTTTTTTACAAATGTCAATGTTTTCTTAATCCATTCTCCTGGACTCTTATATTGCTTCCAATGTTTCGCTAGAACAACACCCAAATAAACATTCTTTTAACACTTCCTGGACAATTATGCAAAAATTTCACTAGATGTAAGAGAAACAGTATCACTGGGTCTTCTACTTAATTAGACATCTTCCAATTGTCCTTGAAAGTGGTTATGCCTGTTTACACACCTACAGTGGGGATGAGTATTCTGTATCTCGCCAACACTTGGCTTTCTCGCACTTCTTAATTTTTACCAATCAGATGAATATGAAATGAGATCTCAGTATTAATTTGCATTTCCCTTATTCCCAGTAAGGCTGAGTGCATAGTCATGTATTAATTAGCCATTCAGGTCTTTTTTCTGTGAATTCCTGTTCGGATTCTTTGCTCATTAGTTGTTGTTTTTGTTCTCTCTTTTTAGTTGCATTAACCTTTTTCTTACTGATTCACAGAAATTTTTTATAAATCCAGGGTATAAATCCTGATTCAGGACATTAATCCTTTATAGTTTCACATATGTCAAATGCCTTCTCCCAATCTGAGGCTTATCATTTTATGATGTTTTTAAATGATGTAAATTAGTCACATACCCAAAATTTGTACTTATTAAATTACAGAGCATAATGAAAATGAACGCCCATGATTCAACTGTGGAACCGAAATATTACCAGTATCATTGAAACTAAACATGCACTCCTCTGCATCCCACTGTAGTGCCTCTAACCCTTGTAAATTCCATTTTATGTTTATCATTCCTCGGCTTTTAAAAAGAAATTTAATTCTGCCACGTGTTTCTTTAAATGTGATCCTTTTTAGTTTTGTTTTTGATTTGTAAAAATAGCACCATTTACATGCAGCCTTCTGCTATTTGATTTCTCCTCATGTTTTTTTCTAAATCGACCCACGATGTTAGATATGTAGCTGTAGTGCAATTATTTTCACTATGGTAAAATATTTTATTCCAGAATGTAACCCTTTTCCTGTTGACGGACAGGAACCACTAAATAATTTCCAGTTTTTGCTATTACGAAAATGCAATAAACATTCTTTGACATGGCTTCTGGTTCACAGGTGCAAGAGCTTCTCCAAGGCACACGACTGGGGCAGAACTGTGGAGGTGTAGGGTCTGTCTAGGAACTACAAGATAATTCGAAAGTAGCAGAATCTTGTGATTTATCTTCTTGTTTGCATCTTTCAACATACAGAAAGTTTTTTCTTTAAAGCAGTAAAATAAAACACGTTTTTCTTTATGATTTGTACTTTTTGTATCCCATTTGAAAAATGCTGCTTTACTCTGAGGTCATAAAGAAACTGCAGGTATTTGCTTCTAATATTTTCAAAGTTTTACTTTCCATCTACAATTTATTTTATGTATATTGGAAGGCAGAAACCCATTTTTCTACATACTTAATTGTACATCGTTTTCTTTTAAATGCACATATTAAATAACAAATGCCAGGGTGAGGGTTCGATAAAGCTTTAAGCCTGAAACAGGGATTGGGCCCCAAGAAGCAGAAATATTTTCCTTCTAATTAAAGGTTCAGAAACTACAGAAACTCTTCAAAGAGAGACTAGATTTATTCCAGCCAAGCGGAATATTAAGTAAATCTTGTTTGTTCAGAGATTTCTATTAAGAAATCAGAGATATATTGCTACAGGAAAAGAATTACCTCAAGATATGAATGTGCTAAAAAACACCCTTGTTGTGGTCACACACTGCCAACAGCAGGTGCCCCTGTGACGTGAGGCAATGCGGTTGCTCTCCTTTCCATGAATTGGCGGTAGGATTTTCCAGTCTAGGGACTGTCCCCTTCCCAAGCTCTTGTCTGTTTTCCTTACCAAGGTGTCCTCCATCTCTAAGCTCTGAATACCTCGAATCTTTTTCATTCTGTTGTCCGGATATTTACAGTGTCAGGTCATGCTGCACTCTAAGACAGCTTCGTTGGTTGTTAACAGTCAATTCAAACTCGTGACATGTTGCAACTTATGATTTCACTTAGGATTTCAGAGGAAAGAAAACAATTTCATTTCCTACTCAATCACTTCTGTAAATTCTACACTAAAAAATAAATAAATTGACAAAGACCAGATGCCTAGGTCATACTTCATCTTTTACCTCTGTAGTTTAGTAACTTAAAGTTGACACATAACTATTTCCTAACCAGTTACTGAGTCCTAAGGTTACCCAGCACCACTAAGCAATTTAAAGCATTACAATATGATTTAAGCACCCAAGGAGTAAACCTTGAGCCTCTATTCGGTGACTCTCAATAGACTGAGAAGTAACGGAGTGGGTAAGCAGTATGATAGACGTATTAACCTAGAGCAATAAGTTTACATTAAGCATTAACATCAACTTTCTGCTTGGTACTAGCTGAATGGGTCACTTAATGAAAGGTCAGAGCACGTGATTAATTGACCTTTTGAAGGCTAAGAGGTGCCTTTTATTTTTCTTCAATTTATCAAAATATGTAGTATGAGGATGACCTTAATTTTTTTCCATTTCTATCATAGATAAAATAAAAAGGCAAGAACATTACTCACAGCGTAAGAACTTTGGTTTACTCAGATTTTAAACTATTAAAGGATACTGAACTTCAAATACAGACACCGTGATACCTCCTTCCTTACAGACCTATAAATGGTTCCCAATAAGTCTGACGTGACTCTTTGGTCCTGACAGCCCCTCACCCTCAACAAGCTACATAATCAAGTTTTCAACCACGCACAGAATTTAGACATTTAAAGAGTATTACAGTTCCTAGGGAAAGACACTATGATGTGACTAACTACACCAAACTTAAGTATCCCCAAGTTAATGTCACAGAAACAATACCAAAGATTAATTTCAGTTACTGCATCTCCAGGCGTTTGGTTTAAGCTAATGCCTCTCCCAGGGCCCAGGTTTAACATAAAAATCATAATATTCAAAGCACAGTCTGGGACCATAGCCTCAAATAAACTTAAAAAAACCAAACAAGTCTTTCCTTTGAGTCTTTCTTAAACAATTCTACAGGCTTCCATTTTCACATGACTGACAGCTACTTACTAGTGAACCTACTGAGTATTGGGCTGGCCAAAAAGACTGTTGGTTTTTCCATAAAATAAAATACATATTCTTCATTTTCACCAATAACTTTATTGACTTGGATATTTTGAGTATGTCAATCATCTCCTGCGTGGTATATAACACTGACTGTTACCAATCAATGTCTCCACTTGACTGCTATCAACTCCAACTGGTCTACCTGACCAGGGAGTATCGTCCGGTGACAAATCTCCAGCACAAAACTTTGCAACCACTTTTGCCTCCTTTGATCAGTCACAGCACCTTTTCCATACACTGCACAAATCTTTTTTTGCATTTCAGTTGCATCTTTACCTTTCTTTTTTAATTTTTATTTATTTTTAGAGAGAGGGGATGGGAAAGAGAAAGAGTGGGAGAGAAACATCAGTGTGTGGTTGCCTCTCATGTGTCCCCTACTGGGGACCTGGCCTGCAACCCAGGCATATATACCCTAGACTGAGAATCAAACTGGCGACCCTTTGCTTGAGCACAGGCCCGTGCTCAATCCACTGAGCTACACCAGCCAGGGCGCATTTTTACCTTTCTTAAAATAATACAGCATAATATGCCAAAAGGTTGCTTATTTTTTTCCATCTTCAATATTAAAACAACTACACAAAAATTCATCAATTTGATAAGTTTTTTTAAATGTGCACTGATATGACAGCCATCAAACACAATCTAATAAAATTGTCTAGAATCAAGTAAAAGACAACAACTAAATGCTGTTAGAGCCATCTTACAGAGAAAAAAATGAACTTTTTGGCCAACCCAGTAAGTTACGAAAGATACTGCAGAGAACTCTAATTCAGTCTTTTGCTAAGAAGACTGGCTGAGAAACAACGTTTGGCAGACCTGCCGAGTTCCTACCACATACGTGTACACTGACAAGCAGAAGTGCTGCATGTCCAGGTAAGAGATGTGCATGACCATCACTCCGAGTTAGTGGTGGTTTTCCACGGCTGCGATTCTTGCTTTCTAGTGACCAGCTTTCAGTTTAGCTTTACCGTCACCCATTTCATTTGCTACCGGTTTCTAGCAATGCCGAAGTATGCAGTGATACACATTTCTTTGAATTTTCCAATGACTAGACATCAGTACATGTACACTGCACTTCAAATATGAACCAACGAATCAGAATACAAGTTTGCTAGATAGCAACATTTCACTGTGAATTTGTATTATTTAAATTAACTTCCAACATACTATCAAGGTAAATCCAACAATGTTATTTTTTAAGCTTGTGGGGCATAATTTTATGTGTATTCACTTAAATATTTATAAAGTAAATGATGCGCATTTCCCTTACATTTCTCTCCAATTTTAACACCTGGTCCCTTTTCCATCACAAAGTAGAAGAGGATGGGGCAGGGAAATTGAGGAGTCTTGACTTGCTGAAGTGAATCAAAATTTTAACAGTTTGAGAACCACTCACTGCCTTAAAGCTCTGGGTAGGTATCAGTACCTACCCAAAGTTTTATGGTTTTATTTTGAAAGCTCTGCAGCTTTAATATAAACCCTTTACCGCCATGAAAATAGGGAGAGGGGGGAACAGGAAGAAAAGGGGTCATCACCAGTGTAAAAGCTCAGAGTGAGGTCATCTACTGAAAATGTCACAACCAAAACAACCTATTACCTGCCTTCAAATGATTACTTTGGTGCTACATAACAGTGCTCTATTAAAGTAATCTTAAAAGGGAGAGATGTGCTGCAAACGTTTATCAAATGTAAATTCATGTGTATATTTTTTTAAACATATTCATACTTAGTTTGTAGCATTTAAGAAGCTACAGCTATTACTTACTAGCTGACGTCTATTTCTCTTCCAGGTTTCTGCCTTCCTTTTGGAATTCATATTCTGGAAAGCTAAAAGCAGAGAAAACAAGTTCTAATCAAAGTTGAGACCGGAATGTTTACTACTATTTTAGGCTCTGGTTCAAACCACATGAGACCCTAAAGTCTGCCAGCACATCAGGAACCCTGGGTGACACATTTCCCACCATGTCCATAAGCCCAAATCGGAGGCTCTGAAGTGTTTGTTCAAAGAAGCACACAAGGAGGTTAAGTGGCGTTTCCACATGGACGGTGTGGCCCCAGAGGACACGGGCAGGCTTTGATCAGAATTACAGAAAATCAGTTTCATCAGAAGCAAAGGTCCCAAAGTGGACCTAAAACATCTACAACTTCTCAAAATTATCACATTTCCAGACGTAATAACTGTCCATCACAGACTCCTGAATTTATAATACATTATTTGATATAAACTCCTCCAAGATGAACTGTAATTTTACCACATAACTTCAGTGGTTTGATGGTGCTCAAGTGAAAAGTAGCATTCATAAAGATAAATTTCTTCCTGCCGTGACGGAAAGCAGCGCACAGGATAACGCAGATCTGGAACCGTGCCCAGGACTTTTCCTCTACTGCCCCGCGTGTCTCCCCAAGACCCAACCTCTCAGCGGAGCTCCAAAGCCAGCCCCTGCCAACATCTCACGTAACACATTCGCAGCACGCGCCTTGCCGCAGTATACAACTACAACTCAGTTAACGCTCTAAAGCCTCAAAGGAAGACTCTATTAATGTGTCCTGCACATTTAGTTACCAGGGGAACAGCTTTACTAGGCCAAAGTAAGGAACAAAAAGGCTAACATCACTGTTAACACTTACTGAAATCACTGGGAAGGCTGTGGTTCAAATTCCTGTAAAATTCTGTCCTATGTGCTTTTTTCAGGCCTGTGCAAAGGCCAAAGTCAGAAAGTTTCACGTGGCCCTACGGGGAAGAAGAAACAAGGTAATGCAAAACATTCCTGCCTGTGGAACACAGTGTTACCTTCTCCAGCTCCTTGCAGCATCCATTGCAGCTCAACAGCCAAAGTACACTGCCTTTTTTTCTCTTATTACAGGGAAAATATATACAATAGCAAATACATTTTTTAAAGATTACCCCAAATTCTATTATACTAATAAAGTATTTTCATTTTTGCATATTATCTTTGTTTTTGTCCAAACATAAACTTTTAAACGTAGTTGAACACAGCATCTAAAGACACTTTTACTTCTTAAACTAACTCAAATATTCTTGTTTATATCGTCTTTTAAATTACCTTTTTTAATGTTTATAGATAATATCCAAATGGCTTAGTACATCACTGCTTAGCTCACACACCCTTATACTGCACGCTCATTCCTCCACACCCCTTCACTCTCACTGTGCTGCGGACCACACGCACTGTAACCCAGAGGGCCTCTGTTCCCCACCCCAACCACACCTGGTCCAGAGGACGGTCTTAATACATGGTTGTTAAATAACGAACAAATCTTTGTTCATATAAGTTCACCTTCTCTTGAATTCTTTCAGTAGGATAAATGCCAAGGAGTAAACTATTCCAAAGACAGAAGTTATAGACTTTACTACACAGTTCTTAATAAATGTGGCCAGAGTGCATTTCAACCTTACATCTCTAGTTTTACCACTCCCTTCCAGGAAAACTCATACCACACTTTAAAAGTGTTGTCTCACTTATATTTCTTATGCCACACTCCACAGACTGAGAGTCAAGACAAGGCTGGCTGGTGAAATGACAAAAACCAAACCAGAAATCAACATGCTCTTTCTCTCCAGGCCAGGATTAGCTAACCTCTGCAACCCTCTGATCTCATCTGGAAAATGGGGATAATGACATCTTCCTGGTAGGAATGATGAGAATTAATGCAGACAGGGCTCCTAACTAGCCCTAAGAAAGAGGTAGGTGTTCTTAGGGTGGTTAAATTTTAAGTAAAGGAGATAAAACCAAAAACAGGGGAGGGAATCCTGATGCTCAGGGATCTACGCTACTCCAGGACACAGAGTTATTCAATGCAAGTGTTGTGGCCAATGTCTGAACCCTAAAGACTTGAACACATGTGGCCATTCCATGACACCACCTTCCTTCAGGCCCAACATACAGCCTTCCCAGGGTACAAGGCTACAGAAGCCTGCTCAGATGGGCCAGGCCTTACTTTGTTTTGTTTTTCAAGAAATCCCATTAAATTCAACGGTGTGTGTGTGTGTGTGTGTGTGTGTGTCCCCACGCATGCAACAAGGTGAACTGTCAAACAAAGACAGCTTTGAGCCTGTTCACCTGTCTTTTTTTTCAGATTTGCAAATAACTTGTTCTACAAGTCAAGGAACAGAGGTTAATTTGTAGTTCTCATAATTACATGTTCTACCTGGATACCTCTAAGAAAGGAATGTGCCTTAGAGAGCAGTGCCTAGAGCAAATGCTATTCAAACCTAGATTTTCAAGGAATTCTGCAGCTATTCTGAGTCTATGTCACTCGAAATTTCTGTATTTTCCCTTCTACGATATATATGGCTGAATACACAAATGAGGTCACCTGTGAGAACATTTATTCTACAAGTCTGGGCTAGCACATTATAGAAAGTAAATATGCACCTAGTGAGGTCCCCATTCCTCCTCAGCAAGACTAATCCCAAGTTCTTAGCCTTTAATGTTTGCTGAACCTGGTCACTGACTATAGGGGACAAGTAAGCCAGTACTGAGGCACCTTGGGGCCAGGGCCAGGGCACTCGAACCCAAGACCAACAAAGTAGAGCCAGTGCCTCATTACAAATATATCAGAACTTAGTAACACAGAAAAATACTTTCATATACATTAACATTTTAAATACCAAGCTATTTATTTTAATGATGTTAACTATATATAAATTATTGACAGAAGCAGAAAAAGTACTGAAGCTATTATACCAAAATAGTGCTTATCTATGAATGATCACATTATTAGTATATTTCTTCTTTGTAACTCTATCGTTCAAATGCTCTACTATGCACATGCATTATTCTTATGGCAAAGAAAAAACTATTAACCAGAAGACATCATCTGACAATTCTCCTGCCCTCCTAACACAGAAAGATAAAGGGTTTTAGAGAAAAAAATTCAGGTTTTTCAAGAGTAGCAAGATAACTGTCAAAAGACAGCAAGAAAGAAAAATACTCCAGAATTACATTTATTGGGTTGGCCAAAAAGTTTGTATAGTTTTTTCCACAAAAATAAAAGACACGATTGTCATTTTCACCAACAACTTTACTGATTTGGATATTTTAGTATGCTGGCTACCACCTGCATCATATAACACTGATTGTTCTCAACAATGTTTCAACTTGATCACTATCTGATCTACCTGAGTGAGAAATCTCCAGCACAAAACTTCACAAACCACTCTTTTTTATTAGATAAGGGTTTATTTTTATTTTATTTTTATTTTAGGATTTTATTTCTTCATAATTTTTTTATTGTTCAAGTACAGTTTTCTGCCTTTCCCCCAAACTCTCCCCCACAAACCACTTTTGACACATTTGATCAGTCACAGCACCTTTTCTAAAGACTGGACAAATCTTTTTTTTTGCATTTCAGTTGCATTTTTACCTTTCTTAAAATAATAAAGCATAGTATGCCAAAAGGCTGCTTATTTTTTCCCATCTTCAATATTAAAACAACTACACAAATTTACCAATTTCAATAAGTTTTGGTTTTAGATTTATTTATTTATTTTTAGGGGGAAAAAGAGGGGGAGAAACATCAATTTGTGGTTGCCTCTTGCATGCCCCCTGCCCAGGACCTGGCCTACAACCCAGGCATGTACCCTGACTGGGAATCAAACCAGCAACCGTTTGGTTTACAGGCCAGTGCTCAGTCCACTGAACCACACCATCCAAGGTGGGTAAGTTTTTTTTAATGCAAGCTGATATGACTGCTGTCACAGTACAATCTAACGAAAGTATTTCAAATGAACTTAAAGCCAGCTAAGCGCCACTAGAGCTTTCTTACAGAAAAAAAGAAACAAACTTTTTGACCAACACTTTTCTACTTAAAAGAAAATTTCAGTCTAGACAACAATTCTGTGTAACAGAACACAGCATCCTACAATTTTAGAGCTGGAAGTAACTTTGGAACTTCTCTGAATCAATGTATTCACTTTACAGATAAGTGAGCTCCAGAAAGTAAAGACTTCTAAAAACTATCGGGCAGCACAGAGGATAATCTTCAAATCTGCTGTAAGTTTAAGAACCAAGCAACTAAGCTCATTTGCATATCTCCTGGGAAATACAAAAAGGCCATTACAGAGGCTGACAGGCCTCTTCTTTAAACAGATGGCCTAAGATCTGGGACCTACACAAGGGAGTTGTGTTTGCTGCTTGTTGGCATTGCTTCCTGGTTCCTGGCTGGCTTCCTCACCTGACAAGGCTGCCCAGCAGAAGTGATGCCTCAGGAGAACTGCATGCTAAGAGAAGATGATTATCTTTGGCTTTATTACAAAATAACCTTCTAAATAAATTTCACCCTCAATCATTTTCAAAAGGTCTGTTATTTCTAAGAGGAACATGTAATCTAATTAGAGAACCATAAGCCGTTCAAAGAAAGGAAGTAACAGCAAACTTACCTGAAAAAAGAGAGAGAGAGAAGTAGTGCAGAGGCAGTTCAGAGCTCCACAGCTTCCCCACTGGTACTGCCACAGGCAGTGCAGGAAGAGGCTGCTCACCGGGGAGACAGACACACTCGGACACCCTGCTACCCCACCATCCCACGGTACCTTGCTGTCCAGGAGAAGGTTGTCTGGTTTGATGTCTCTGTGGATGAATCCAAGTTGGTGAATGGAGTCAATGGCTAATACTGTTTCTGCTATATAAAACTGAGTCTCCTCCTCTGTCAAGGTGTCTTTTTTCATCAGCAGAGTCATCATGTCCCCTGGAAACAAGAAGATAAAAACCACCACACACACAAAACACATGAGTAAGTGCCTGTTTTCAGATATGCCTTCCTTATCTGCCAACATAAGGCCTCTGCTGTGTTCCAGAGACTGACCCCCGACGCCACTATGGGCAAAAATGCTAAGTGGCTTGCAACACTTAAAGATAAAATTCATAGCCATGGAGAGCAAAGCACTGTGGCCTAGCCTAGCTGATGCTTACCACTGAGCTATGATTTCCATTTTATATTGAGAGAAAAAGAAAATTTCTCTCACACTAAAAAAAAAAGTTTGCTTATGATAATTTTTTGACCTGGGGATAAAGCTACTTTCCTTTTTAACTTTGCACAAATGTCTGCAAACTTCCTAGAGCCAAATGTCATTTTCACATAAGTTGTACTGCCATTATTACAGAGAGAGACTGGAATGTCAAACAATAATAAGCATTCGGGGAGGCTGAAAACAGACTCGCCAATCTCTATTCACAAAGCACTACAACATAAACACAAAAGTGAGATTTAGGAAGCAAAGTGCTAGTCAACAAAAACTGAAACTAAACTGAAAAACTAAACTGAAAGTGGGATAGCTGCTTCCCCAAAGTGCACAGATACTAACCACCTCCCCAATCAGTGGGGTTTCTTCCTTCGGTGTTTTATTACAGGTATTTAAACTGATATGCTTTATGCAATTTTTACAACACATTATCAATAGTTTAATAATTAAAAGGTAACTTCCTTGTTTTCTGCAAAGTCAAATTTTAATTATATGAGCAACATAAAATGGCAAAACAAAGATTCTGATCCTAACGCAACAATTAAGACAAAAGCGAATTAAGTCTAATATGTAGTTTAAAGCTAAGAAAAGCAGGAAAGCCATTTATGTTAGAAAATAGGGAAAAGAGAAAGAAAACTGATTTTAATAGAGCATCATGCTGCATTTATTTCATTTCATTCATAACTTGGGAATTTTTATATTCTTAGAGAAAAGTGGATATTTTACCCCTATGCAAAAAAACCCATTCAAGCCTTTTATTAAATACTCTCTCTTTTTTGACCCAAGACATGAAAAATATGAATCCCTACTCACTCCTGGCAGTCACACATGCAATCTGGAGGCACACTACTGACATAAGGACAGCGTGCCCGGGCCAGCTCTAAGGTAGCCATGTGGCAGCCAATGGCCTCCCCGCCTACCCAGGTGATCAGAGAGCTCGGGCCAGGCGGTGTAAGGCTCCATAGGCCAGCTCCACTGGGTGCCCAGGGCGGGGTCCAGGAGACATGAGCAGCTATGGAAGTTGGTGCAGGTAAGGTTGAGGAGACACATGCCAAGGGGCTGGTAGACAGAGCTGGTTCTTATTCCTGTTTAAGAATCAGCATCTAAATAGTAGAAAATTTCCCCTCATTCTATATCTCTTTTTAACCTTCATCAATTGTTAATAAAAATTACTGATGACCCTAGATCTAAACTAAATGTTGTCACAACATCAAAATATTATGCCACAATTATATTTGCTTTGCTATAGAACCAAAGGAGAAAAAGTTTTCTTTTCTTCCCAGCAGAGTTGGCTCACAGCTCACCTGCTCACTAGGAAACAGGCTGTGTTTCCCAGAAGAGATGGTAGACACTGTTCTGGGTTTGTCTGGAGCTGTCTTAGGAGGTGTACATGCTAAGTTACATGAAACATAAAAATCTCAGAAATGAGGAACTGATTCTGGATACTAGTATAGGTAATGAGAAATTCCTTCCTCATTAATATAAGTTACAGAAAAAGAAACAAAAGAGTTGAAGCAAAGAATGTTACAGTTTCCATTTTGTCACTTGGGAAACTGATTATACATGATGCCCACTGACAGGAGAGCAGGCAGGCTCTAGTTTAATCTTATACATTTAGAAAGAAAAAAGAAGGAAATGTCCATCTGAAATCATGAGAACGAATTAGAAGGTTATTTTCATGGCACTAAGAATTGTAGAAAGGCACCCAGTACCAGACAGGTTACTGACTTTCTTACAGACCTAAAAAAGACATAGAAAGTAACTTTGTGAGCACGGATTAGAAAGGAGGGTTAATTGAGGTGAGAAAGAAGCCACAGAACAAAAAGGAAAAATGACCTTTCATCGTCAAGTAATTACCTCCAGGCAGGAACTCCATGATTAGGTAGAGGTTTAGCTTATCCTGAAAACTATAGAACATTTTCACAACCCACAAACTGTCTGCCTCCACTAGAATGTCACGCTCCGCACGAATGTGGCCAACCTGGAGGTATATGCATTTGATTAATGACAAGACTTGCTCTGCTTTATTAGATTGAATATTTGTTTAAACAATTTAAATACTATTTTGAATATTATATTGTGATGATGCAAAAGATCCAATATATGCTTAGGCCAACCTACTAACTCAAAACTGACATTTGACTTGGCAGTATTCAGTAATGAAAACTTAAGTGATGAAAGGCTTAAAAAATGGCAAAATGAATGGCTGTCATGCAAACAGCAACTTTAACAGCACTAAAAATCGAACCTCTGATTAGTTAAAATCACCACTGTTTTTCATACCTTTGTGTTTCAATACAATACTCCCTCCTCATCAGAGAGGGATATTTTCCAAGACCCCCAGTGGAAGCCGGAAACCAAGGATAGCAGGGAACCCTATCTATACAGTGTTTTCCCCTATATACACGCACCTATGATAAAGTTTAATTTATAAGTTAGGCATAGTAAGAGGTTAACAACAATAACTAATAATAAAATACAATTATAACAATATACTGTGAAAAAAGTTATGTGAATGGTTTTAAGTTGAACACAAGCACTGTGATACCACATCAGTCAACCTGATGACCAAGGTGGCCACTAAGTGGCTAACAGCCGGGTAGTGTATACACAGTGTAGATACAGCAGACAAAGGGATTCGTACCCCAGGCAGACAGAGTGGGATGGTGTGCGATTTCACCATGCTACTCAGAAAACAGCGCTCAGTTTAAAAGTTATGAACTATTTCTAGAATTTTCCATTTAATGTTTTTAGACCACAGTTTAACACAGGTAGCTGAAACCATGGAAAGTGAAACTGCAGATAAGGGGGGACAAGTGTAATCTTTTATGATATAATTAATCTCAAGATGAGACTCTCTAAAAAGTCCTGGCTCAGCCCTGGATGGTGTAGCTCAGTAAATTGAGTACAGGCCTGAGAACCAAAGAAAGAGTCAAGGTTATATTCCCAGTCAGGGTACATGCCTGGGTTGCGAGCCAGGTCCCCAACAAAGGGTGCATAAGAAGCAACCACACACTGATGTTTCCATCTCTTTCTCCTTCCCTTCCCCTCTAAAAATAAAAAAATTAAATCTTAAAAAAAAAAAAAGTCCTGGCTCAGGTGTGCAAACGCATGTGCAATGCCGGTGCCCTCGCTGACAATTCTAGAATACTATGACACCACAGCACTTAGGTAACTGCTGTGCACAGAGTATGTACTCAAACAATTCTTACTAAATTGAAATATATGAGCACCTAAGAAAAGTTTTAGGTTCAAATTTATGGTATTTCCAGTTTTCTACTCTTACTGAAATATCTAGCTAAAGAGGCCAAGTTGCCAAAGGTTTGGGAGAACAGGTGGAATTCATTTAAAAACATTTTATTGTAAAATTTACCTTATCTACTTGTAATATGTAATGGTAATCAAAACAGTGCTGCATATTATCAAATCCAGCCCCCTCTCCTCTTATGTAAGAATCACAAAATGCAAAGTTGGACTGAATAAAATCTAAGCTTATAAATCCCAGTCTAATGCTTGAAGAGAGGTTTTGGTCTTAACAGATGCCACAGGGCTTGAGTTTACCATGTGTTCAGAGGTAAAGATGTACCAAAGTTTGCAAACCAGCACTCCTTTTGGCATCTCGGCCCATGGGTGTTGTTTTGTTAGATACGATGTTCTATATGCTTTTTAAAATTGGAATGTCTTTAGCAAAGCCAGGCAGACTTCCATTCGGACACAAATCCTACCCCTCTCCTGTCTTATACCTAAACTGCCTTATTCTTTCATGCTAATTCCCAGGGGCCTGAAGGCATTTGAGTTTACTTACTGACTTTCCAATTGCTACTAAAATTGTTCCATAAATTTTTAAATAGCAGGAACATTTTTACACCTCTACTAACAGCATGAAGGTGGGAAAAATGGAACATAGGGAACAAGTGCTATGAATCATGGTGAAGTCCAATAAAGCTACTGCCTTTACTCAGGTTTAATACAGCAGCAACCTTCTGGAAAACACTAATGCCACTTGCTGAACGGCAGCCATGGCTTTGACCAAGTCATTACCAGACAGAAATATGGTACAAGGCAGCCTTCACCTGCCTCTGCTTCCCCTGGCTCCTGTTAAGGCCTGTCCCTACTGCAAGGAGCAAGAGAAAAGGTAAGGCGCTACTATCACCACTTGTCACTCATCTTGGAGGACAGATTGGTGACTACAACATTCCCTGTTTGTCAGGGGGAAACCTATAGTCACTTAAGTTCACCTTGTCCTTCTCTCCTGGGGCTGAATCAGCAGCTAGGGCCCTCAAGATCAAGGAGTGGAGCCCTGGATGGTGTGCCTCAGTGGACTAAGCGCTAGTCTGCAAACCAAAAGGTTGCTAGTTCCATTCCCGGTAAGGGCACATGCTTGGGTTGCCAGCCAGCTTCCAGGCCAGGTTCCCAGGTGGAGAAATTTGAGAGGTCACCAATTGAGATGTTTCTCTCCCTCTCTTTTTCCCTCTATTCCCCTCCCTCTTACAAAACAAAACAAAACAAAACAAAACAAAACAAAACAAAACAAAACAAAACAAAACAAAACAAAAAGATCTAGGAAAAGAGTAGGGTAAGGGTACCCTTACCCTTACCAGAGGTTCCAATTCTTATCCCGTTCCATAAATATTTAATGGGGTGGGGAATCACGGGCTAGTTGCTACCCTGGGCACTAGGGAAACAGATATAAGTCAGTCTTTTGTCCCACCCCAATACCACGACCAGCATCACAATTAGAGGTTTTCCTTTTTCACTGAAAGAGAAACACGAAGAAACTAGCTAAATGCTGGTCTCTTATCCTTTAAAATTTTCCAGGTGGCAAAAATTTCCACCCTGTGGGACAAAATAACAACCTGAACTTTCTCTGGGTAGCTTTAATTCTTGCTCGGTTTAATAAAAGCAAACGAAAAACTTTTCCTCTGAAAAGGCACCTATACCTAGCTGACAAAGAATTAGGCTCTGAATCCGAACTTTGTCAGCCGCACCCGAAAGTAATGGACCTGCGGTGGTCTGCTTCCACTCCCACCTGGTGCGACTGCTGCTCGCTCTCCAAGATGGTGACCCACAGGGACTGTGGCCAGGAACCCTCAATGGACCACACTGAGATCAAACCCAGGGAGCTGAGTCCAATGGCAAGGTGGACTCAAATCCTAATCCTAACAAATATCTCCTTTACTTTCACTTAGAAAAGCTTTAGGAATTAATCTTGAAGGAGGCACAACATTTGAGAACACGTTTTTGCACAATGTCTGGATCACCTGCCACCATGCTGGGGAACAGGCACAGGTTATCGAGGGTTAGTACGTGAGGGCCATGACATGCGCTTCTTTACCGTCTCATTCTGAGTACAGTTAGCTGATAAAGAAAGATTTTGAACCTTGGGTAAACCTATAGGAAATACGGCTTGTAAAAATAAAACTTACTTGTGAAATACAAAATATACTAACTAATAAACACAGTTTTACAGTTTCCTTTTCAAGATCAGCTAAAACTCTTTTGGTGCTTACACCCATACCACATACTAATTTTTAGATAACACATAAATAGAGCTGTTGTGCATTTTTAATAAGTTGGTGTTAGCATAAACTATAATGTCTGAAGATTTACTGCCATGGTATTTGATGCTCTCAATCGAAATTCCTGGGAGTCTAAAGATTCTGGGTAACGTGAAAATTAAAGAGAAAATATAGATTCCAAGCGTGGAGCTGGAATTTACACGAAATCTCAGTGATTATACCTCCTCTCAAGAGGCAGAAAGGAGTAAGTGTGGGGCCAGCCTCCCCACTCCTGGGCTCTGCACCCAGAGCTCTCCTTGTCTCTCTTTGCCCTCCTGTAGCATCTGATCTTTTACAGGATATTTACGGGCATCACCCACTACAGCTTGTTCTTAAGTAACCAGTTAAATTAAACTAGATTTACAGAAACTCTGCATTCTCGTTTTTAATATATTGCTTAATATTTAAAATTTATTTTGCACAAACTACTTAGGTATCTTTTTAGGTTTTAAAAAGTGCTCTTAATCATTAGTGAAGAATGGTCACTGCTCTGCCGTCTGCATATTTTTTCAAATTCATTCAAGAAGAAGGCTGTTCTCTCTTAGGCAATGATGAGCTTACGCAGAAGACCAAGCTTTGATTCCAGTGAACAAAATAAAGTACAGTGAGACACATTTTAGATTGCCAATTCCAAATTCTAATTCCTAAGCCTCAGTTGCAAAGTGTATCTGCAGTTCCTCTCTCAGCATTCAGTCAGGAACGTGCCACCACATCAGCTGTTACCTAAGAGAAGGCTCATCCGGACGCCCTGTGAGCACCTGGGACTCCCAACAGCAGGCGCTCCTCTGATAGGTTCTCCACGTTAAGAAGACTGCACAAAACGTGTAGGCATTATTTATACTTTTCAAATATATGTAACTGCTTCTTCGTTGGATAAGTAACATTATATATATATTCAAACTTGACAGAGCTAAAGAAAACTGTAATAACAATATACATTTCAATTAAGCAAAAAGAACAGTTTTAGGAGACAACAAGTTCATAGGGTGACTCAAATCCCTACTACAATTGGGTTTTACCTGCTCTTTTTCAAGCATATCTGCTTTACGGAGTATTTTCATTGCATACACATGCCCTGTATCTTTCTTCTGAACAAGCCGCACCTAAAAGTTATTTAAAAAATGCCAAGTTAAAAGTTTACAATGCCAAACTAAGGCTTTCATGTGTTATAGGAATATTTAAACTAAAAAGGTTTTACAATTTATATAAGCAACTAGCAATACCAAAGCAGAAGAAAGTGCTTTATGATGTATGAAAATGGATACATCCCACCCAGCGAAGCCAGTGCTGCAGACACCCTCAGATATCTCCACACGTGAACAGCTCTGGCTCCCTAGTTGAGCAAAACAATCTAATTTCAAGCCCTTGTTTTTTAACTTAAGGGCTCATTAAAACCATGGCATATGTCATGTAGTCAGCTCAGAAAACCTAAGTAAATGATTACAATGCTTAAAACAATAGCAAAAGCTCATGTGTAGGAAAAAACATCTGGAAGGAAAAAAATCTAAAATGTATAATTAGGGAAATAGAGGTTTATGCAGTTTTCCTGTCAATTTTCCAGTGTTTTTAAGAGAGAATAGATAAACAGATGAAAAGAAAATTAATGGTCTACTATACAACGCCCCCCAAAAAACTTCTTGGCAACTCCCTGCACATTCTTCGCTTCCTCGCCCAAGCCGTGTATGTTTTCTTTTTCCTGAACCTTTGTTTTCCTGACTGAATCACATGTCCCTTCCCCACTGAACAGAAAGCAATTTAGAGGGGGTACTGTATGTTTCCCTCTCTTAACAGGCCAACAGGGATTCTCAATGCCAAGGGATCAAGTTAATCTTCTACCTGTGCTTTTGTATGCACTTATATTTTCCCCTGAGGTGTGGGTTTTCAATAACATGATGCTCCTTTTACACAAAAATAATGAAACTATTGCATCAGTAAGTCAACCACTTTGGATGCTTTCCATTAGGGAATGACCTTGCATGGGTTCATTCCAATCCTCCCTACCAGACCAGATCACTCCTGTGACCAAGCAGGATGTGTCTGCAAGACTAGCTGGGACAAAGCTACAAATTCTTTCAACTCTCTCCCACTACTTTATAGAACTCATTTCTACAAACCCTGTCTCCTAGGGCCATCTTTTTAGAGCTGTACCAATCGGACATGAAGAAATAAAGGGTGGAGTGGTACTGGGAAACAAGAGCTTTAAGATGAGGAAACCTGAGCCCTGGGCAGGTAGCTCTCAGGTAATTAAAGCATCATCCCAACATGCCATGGTTGAAGGTTCGCTCCTCGGTCAGATCACATGAGAATCAATCAGTGAATGCATAAATAAGTGGAGCAACAAATAGTGTTTCTCTCTCCCTAAAATCAGTAGAACTTTTTAAAAAGATCAGGAAGCCTGGGCCAACTTCTGGTACCACATGCTCAATGGCTCTGTGACACTGCAACACTACAGGCTCCAAGTCACGTATAATACGAGTTCCTGTCATGATTACAGCAGAAAAACAGTCAATAATAACTACTGATTTCCTTCTACCTTTCAACTCTCCCTCTAGATCAGTACTTAAAGCATCAACATCATCTCTGGAAAAAGAGAGCACAACCATCAGCGATCCAGGACAGTGGAGAGGGAAGAAGAGGCCAGACGGCAGTTAGGGTGTGGGGCTGGCGTGCTCGACCCACCCCCCACATGCAGGTCTATCAACAATCATACATAGAAGCTGTGAAGTCCTGTGGTGTCTCTGTACTGGGTAAGCAGCTGTAACTGCGGGGGTTTGTTTTGTTTTTACCTCACCAAACGCTCCTCTGCCTATTACTTTTAAGGACTCAAAATCTTCCAATCCAAGTCTTGTTCTCTTCAAACGAAGAAACTCTGTTTCCTTCCGAGCATGAGCTGATCTCCTGAGTCGTTTCTAATGTTTAAATAAATAAAAGGACAGAGGAATGGGAGGGTGAGGAGTTGAAATTCTGCAACAAAGTCCTATTTGTGATTTGACCCATCTGGAAAACAGGCCCCCAGACGAAGCTTACTTTTTCACACACAGAAGCATCACAGAAGGACTCTTACAAGTCACTTCTCCCCTCGCGGCGTTCAGATACAATAACCAAACCATAGTCAACAGACAGGTGCTTCCTCAGTGACCCTCTGGTCTAACCTTGCTAATGAAGGAGGGATAAACGATCATCAACATTTTCCTTTAACCTTTGTTACAAAAATAAAAGTGTGTGCTTTTAAGTTTCTCTCTGGGGTTTTTACTCATCGCAGTTCCTTTTACTTTTACGCTCTAGTTTTCTATGATCCCTACAAATCTGGGATATTTTTCACCACTTTCCTGGGTTCTGTGATTCATTGCTATTTTTTAAAGCATTTCCTCTGCCTTTTCAGTTCCTTGCAGTTTCTTAACTGTATTTTCTCGAACCACATCTGTGGGCATTGGAGAAAAGAGCTGATTTGAGAGATCTTTTCCTTAATAATTATTTCAGAAATTTGCCCCATTTCTGGGAGTCTTTTCAGTGAATTCTGCAAGTATGCTACAATTTGCTTTTTAACTTTTTAATTTGATTTCATCTCTTCCTTTTGTTGGGACTCTGAATTAGTTCTAATGAACTTATTTTAACTATAGAACTAGAGAAATCTTTCTCTCCTGAATGCCTGATAATTAGCTTCTCCCTCTGCATGAATACCTAAATCCAGAAGCACACTAGCCCTCCTAAGTTTCTGTCACTGAGCCAAAAGCCTTCCCTGTGCACTAAGACTAGCAATTTGCTGAACAAGAGGTGACCTGCCATGCTGTTTCAAGGGGAAAAAAATGATGATTTTAATTACCTCTTCATCTTTTAGGCCTTCTTCTTCCATCACTTTTTCTAACTTCTTTTGTCTAAAAATAAATAAATACATGTGAAATAACATTTGAATTATAATTTTCTGAGAAGTCCATACAAATATAAAAATTATTCTTTTAACAACAGAATACAGATACAGGTGAATCTTAAAAAAGCTCATTAAAGCAATAAATTACAGTTACCAAGACAACCGAAGAGTCCTACTTTTTTTGTTACTTTTACATTCTGAAACAGAATGCATAAGATATTAATGCAACAAGGAATCTTATTTTGAAATGAAAAGTCCCCCCCCCAACTGTATTTCCTCCTTCACAAACCGCAAAACAGCTGGTGTTTGATAACCTCCTATCAAGGTGTTTCCCTCTCTCCGACTGAAATCTACTTCCTTTATTTTCACACCCTCCTCCTCCCTGCCACAAAGAGTAATAAACAACAAAGGTAAAAGGCAGAATTTAGATATTCAAGGGAGGTAACTGGTATCACTATAAAACTTAAGGACTGTAAATCCTTAGAGTACTGAATTACAGAAACTGTATTCAAAAATATTGTTGGCCCTGACTGGTATGGCTCAGTGGGTTGGACAGCCATCCTGCAAACCAAAAATTCAGTTCAATTCCTGGTCAGGGCACAAGGCCAGGTCCCTGGTTACAGGTATGCCAGAGGCGACCCATCTCTGTTTTTCTCACACATCGATGTTTCTGCTCCCACTCTCGCTCACTCTCTCTCTCTCTTTCTTTCTCCCCTCCCTTCCCCTCTCTCCCAACCTCTGTCCTCCCTTCTCTCTCAAAACAATGAAAAAAAATGTTCTGGGGGGAGTGGGGATAAAAAGTTCTGTGGGTTTTTTAAAAGATTTTATTTATTTATTATTAGAGAGAGGGGTGCAGAAAGAGAGGGAGAGAAACATCAATGTGTGGTTGCCTCTCGAATACCCCCCACCAGGGACCTGGCCGGCAACCCAGGCATGTGCCCTGACTTGGAATCGAACTGGTACGACTTTGGCTCATAGGCCCAGGCTCAATCCACTGAGCTACACAAGCTGGGGAAAAAAAATGTTTAAGAGTATTTTTGATCTACAGTTTCATATTGATTTGATAAAGCCAAAAGAAACAATTAAAACTTCCTTATAACCTTTATTTATTGAGTACTGTAAATGAAAGCACATAGGCTGGAATCTCTCTTCCACCACTCTCAGCATTCCAGAAAATGGGCAGTATGAGCAAGGCAGGGAAGAATAAGGGTTAGTGAAGTAACAGCATACGGTCTAGTGTGGCTGAGGCACACGCACTTCTGTGTGTGCCTGGCTCTTAGTGAGTCGCCGACCAAGAATTTACAGAGGCTTGTGCACAAAGAAGCTATGTGATGAAGTTTCTATTTTAGAATGGCAACCAGCAGTAATGAGCTAATGGACTGGCAGGAAAAACAACTGATAGACTGAGGCAAATTTAAAGCTATCATAAGGATTCATATGTGCAGTAAAGATCTAGAAACAGGGCTGGATACCTAGAGTGAAATGAACAGAGCTCCTGCAAAGATAGCCAACCAACTTGCAGTAGGAATTGAGGGAAGTCTTAGAATTTCTTGTGTGGAAGGACAATGATGCCACTGACCAAGCCAAGGGTAAACATGGAAAGATAATGGGTTTCATTTTGGTCAATGAATATGTATTGCAATAATGGTATTTAGTTTAAATGACTATACTGTTAGAAATATTACAAATCCACAGACCTACTCTGCCCCTGATGGGAAGAAGCAAGCATCTACATGACTGTTAGGCTGCCCACTTTTCTTCTTCTAGTTCGCAGAATATTTTGGGATATGCACCTATGTGTGGTCATATATTGGAGTGAAAAGGCTGTATTATTGGTAGTTTCATAAGTGTAAACTAATTGCATTTCAGTGGTTAAATAGCTGAAGGAGGGAAGAATAAGAAGAGTCAAACTATCAATAGCAAGAGCTACAAAAACTCAGCCATGTTTAGTTCTTTTTGTGCCCTGATTATCAAATACCATCACACCTTCTGACTATACATTTTCTGAATGACCACACCAGACTGGGCTGGAAGTCCTCTGTGCTACCACACAAGGTGTATCACAGAGACAGCTCCTGCTGACTATATTTTAAATCTAAATTCAAACACTTTCCACACTTTATTGCAAATGTAATTAAATTGGTTTCAGTAGAATACCTACCTGAAAGTACAGCTATCAGAGTCAGCTCCTTGAACCCGATCAGACCTTTCATTAGAGGACATACCCAGAAAAGCCCTGCCATACAGAATCATCCCTGGTAATGATTTACTGGGACCAAGTCAGCAAAGGCCTTGAAGACAACAAAATTGACAAGCACAGCCTGAAATGAGGCTTATAAGAGACATCCTCTGTGAGATACCATGGAATTACTGTAAACTTTGTTAAATGTTTGGTGGCATTGTGATTATACAAGAAAATGGCCATATTTTTTTCAGTCCACACAGGATTGAAAGATAGTTGAAGTTTGCTTTAAAATGCAGTAGCAAGAAAAAAATAAAATGTAATAGATGAAACAAATTTAGCAAAGTCTTCACGATTACTGTATCTGAGGGATGACTAAATGGGGGTTGACTGCCTCAGTCTTCCTATGTGTTTATTTGAAAGCGCTCATAATGAAACAGAAAAGCAGGCCCAGCTCCGGCCACAGCACCAGGTTAGCTGCCACCCCCCCCCTGCCCCGTGGTGGAGCCACCCATCCACTCAATCCCCACGTTCCAGACCATAATCCTGGGGAGACACAGGCCCCTTCCACGCACAAGGCTTTCCATGAGCTCCACTCATTTTTGTGTGAACTCATGTAAGTTTTTCTTTTTAATTTATTGGTTTTAGAGAGAAAGGGGAAGGGGAGAGAGAAAGAAACTTCAATTTGTTGTTCCACTCATTTATGCACTCATGGCTAATTCTCTTATTTTTATTTTTAAAAGATTTTATTTATTTATTTTTAGAGAAAAAGGGGAGGGAGGGAGAAAAGAAGGAAGGGAGAGAAACATCAATGTGTGGTTGCCTCTTACATGTCCCCTATTGGGGACCTGGCCTGCAATCCAGGAGTGTGCCCTGACTGGGATTCGAACCAACAACCCTTTTGTTAGCAGGCCAGAGCTCAATCCACTGAGCCACACCGGCCAGGGCTGGTTGATTCTTGTATGTGCTGTAACCTGGGATCAAACCCGCTACCTTGACATATCAGGATGATGCCTTAAGCAACTGAGCAACTCGGCTGAGGCCCCAGGTAATTTCTTTTGAAGGCAGGGACCTCATCTGAATTCTACTTCCACTAAGAATAGTGCTTTGTAAGTACTAACATTTTGAAAAGTATGCTGCTAATTTTTTTTAAAAAAAGGTCAGAGCTCAGAATGTGTAACAATGTGCAGACCCGTTCCTGACTACTACTTTTAATTAGCCACCATTTCTAAGCCTAATTTAGGCTCCCCTCCCAGCCCAGCTTGACTCAAGAGTTTTCGAGGCCTTTGCTGACTTGGTCCCAGTAAATGATTACCAGGGATAATTCTGTTATGATAGGCCTTTTCTGGGTATGCCCTCTAATGAAAGAGTCTGACTGTGTTCAAGGAGCTGATTCTGATAACTTTACTCCCAGGCAGGTATTCTACTGAAACCAATTTAGTCACATTTTCTTTCAGTAAAGCTGTGGAAAACTTCTCACTTAGAATTTAGATTTAAAATACAGTCTACAAGAGAATAGATGACAATTTCTGTTGATGAGGCACTTGAAACCAGAAAAAAACAGTATAGAAATAAACAGTGGTCATTATCTCCATGATGAAATTGAGAAAATTCTCCAGAAATACCCTAAAAGTGATTACACAGATGTTTTTTTAAATCTCAACAAATTACTTTTGTTTGACTGATATGCAGTCAGTGACTACCATTACAAGGTCTAGATTCACTCAACCCTGGGGCTTAAATAAAACTGACTCTTGCTCATTAGTAATAACCACATATTACAACTCACTATTAGATCAGTTAGGAAAACCTGGGGGACAACAACAAAGAGGAGTAGCAGAACATGCTGGTTCTCAAAGAATAAAATGTAATAAAGTTCTGATTTGACTTTGGAGTATGGGAAGATGTAGACCATTATTGCCAATTAAATCAGGTTTTTGTGGCTTTAATTAATCCAGCAAAACAGTATTTATGAAGAACAGAAACAACACAGAATATTTGTAAGAAAAAAATGAAGTTTCCTTAGTTTCGATTTCAGACTGCTATAAATTATTAAAACCATTAATTTTTTATGAATAACTAGACAATTATGAACACCTACTGGGAACCTACATCACATGAGAGAAAACAGAAGGAGAAATGCTGTTCCTAGAGAAGGTTACCACAGAGGCCACTATAAAAGGCGAAACAGATGAAATAAAGATGACTGGCCCTACCAGGTGGACTCAGCTTACAGTTTACCAATAGCACTGAGCACCAAACTGTACTCTGCAACACTGTGTGATGGGGACTAGACTCCGGGGGCCTAATTATTTTTCAATTCATCTGTAGAGCATGTTGCAATGTTTCTATAAAAATAACCAATATTCTCATACTCCACTTTTATACAGAAAACTATCAAAATGAGTTTTATTCTTCCTTCCACTTCTAGGCTTTGGTCTCATCTCCTGTTGCAGGAAGTCCTTTATTTTCCATGCAACCTGGTGCTCTCCCATACATGGAACAGTACCATAGGAGAAAGAATAGAGGTTTTAAAAGCATCACATGAGGCACATACAAACAAAATGAAAATCTGTATTATAACCTGGTCTCAACATTTACTAGCCCAAGACTTATTATTTCAAACCGCTTATCATATATTAGCCACATACTCATAATAAAATGTCTTTATCAATTGTCTCACATCATTAAAATTCTGTTTTTAGCAAGTGCCTGTGATGTTTCCCTTCATATCAAAAAGCCGTAGCCATTTCTGAGAGTTCTCATTTTAGTTTACTTACTACTTCAGTAAATCCTGCCAATAACTGTTTTTCTTTTATTTTTTT